TAACCGCAGCCGCTGGGGAGGGGGCGCGGCGCGCGGGTCACGTGGTGGGCGTGGCGGCGCTGCGGGCGCGCGGCCGCTCGGCGCCATTAGAGGCGTCAGGTGGTGGCGGCGGCAGGAAATGGCCGGGCCCGGGCTGGGCCTGGGTTAGGCCCGGTGGGTCCCGGGCCTGAGCCCTCCCACCGACTGCCCGCCCGCCAGGAGACCGCGGGATTGGCCCTGCCCGCGTGGTGCCCAGCGAGCCCCGGTTGGGCCGTGTGAGGGCGGAGGGCGCGGTGGGTGCCGGCCTGAGGGACGGCCGGGCCCGCCGGTGTCCTCCAGCGCCGGGTCACTGCGCGGGAACGCCAATTACTGTAGCAAGGGCAGGTTTAGTTCTGACGTTGCCCAACTCCAATTTCGCAATCTCTGGTTAGCATATTGTTTTCATACGGAGTTGTATTTTCCTGTTGGTTGTTTCCCCTGTGAGTGTAAATAAACCGGAGGCGGCTCTGGGGGGGGGCGATGGCCGGTCCCCGGCAGCAGCAGTGTGTGTCTGCGGCGCCCTGCAAGGCTCCCTTCTCCCAAAAGAGCTGTTGCCCCATGTGGAAGTTCGCAGAAGTTATGCACGCGGATCTTACCACCACTTTTGATGATTTGTTTCTGCAATTCTCTAATGATGTTGACAAAAAGTATTAATCCCAATCTGAAATCCTGCCACTTGCTTTAACCACTATTGCCACAGCTGCTTGAGGTGTGCTTTAGCTTCTGTTCCTTGACATTTCGTTCAAACATGTATCTTTATGTATCTTGGCATGCAACTGCCTGCTCTGCCAGTTGACCCCAGTGTGGAATCACCCAGTTACCCCTTGACTATCAAGCCTCTTTTCTTCCAAGTAGTTCCTAATTGTGCATTCCCATCTGCCCGCTGAGCTGGGAGCTGTGACGTGACCATCCCCTTGCTCTCAGGTTCTCACCCCATGGACTTTGCCCTCTTCTTTCTTCCATCTCTTGGCTCCGCTCTCTCTGTTGACACTCTCACTGTGGAGGTCTCTGCCCATTATCCTGGTGGCTCTGCCTTGAGGGTGTCCCCTTGATGGTCTCCCGCTTCCTTCTCCCACCTGCCTGGGGGGGGTCCTCTCTGGCATCCCACCCCCGTCACCACCCGCTGCCCGCGGTGTCCCTGTCCCAGCAGTCTCTGGTGAAGTGGGAGCGTCTCCAGTTGGGGAGCACAGCCGGGTCCCCGGCACAGACTGACCTGGCAGGGCCTGGCCCCTTGCGTGGGGTGAGCACTGTCCCGGGGGGCCAGCGTGATCTAATTAACAGCTCTCTGTATTTAACACACATTCCACTATACAGCTTGGGGTTTTTATGTATTTGAGTGGGATAATGCTTCTGATGTGTTTATTTTTACTTGAATATAATGCTTTCTTTTCCATGATGTGTTCTGCACTTTAGAAACACAGCATTATTTTTCTCTGGAATTTTAGACAGCAGTAAATGTGAATAAATAAATGTTTAAATTTTCTGAAACCAAGTAAAATATTATTTAAAAGGTTTTCTTAACTCTAAAAATGAAATTATGCTTATAGTTCTGATTACATACATAAATAAATCTGTCATCCACAAGTGCAAAACAAATGATTACAGAGAACCTAGCTTAAACACAACCTGTCATGGCAAATTTAATTAAAAATTGGCATGTATCTAGATTCTTTTCTACCTTCACCAGGACGTGTGTGATCAGAAAGGAAACCGACCAGGCAGACCAGGAAATTGTGGGAAAGGCTGTCAGCTCCTTCGAGTGCTGTGTTCAAATATACGTCTAATCCAATTAAACCCAAACAAGCGGTCAGGAGGCTATGGCACGCTTCCCCAGCCGCTTCTGCCGTGACAGAGCTTCCTGCATCTATTTCCATGAAGCGCTGTGGTTACAGACGGGCCGAGCAGGCAGAACCCTTCCTGCTGCCTTTCAGCCTCCTTAAATGCACAGCCATTACCTGCACTTCACAGCGGGGCTTTTACCTTAACACTGTGACATTAAAACCTCAATTCTGAAAAGAACACAAATGTGTTTCAAGAAAATTATTAGCTCCATGATCAAAATAAAAGGGTACGTTGGGGGGGGGAAGAGGTGATACTGCCTAAAAAAATGATAGGAGGTAATAAAAAGCTTTTATTTCAAATAGAAATCGCTGCTAAGAAGAGTTTGTCCGACCAGAGCGCGGTGTCTCCAGACGAGCTGCACCAGGAGGTGGCTGAGCCCTGCGAGCCGGCAGCGTAAACGTGCCACGGACCCCACTGTCCCCATCTCCCCACCGGTCCGAGGTCAGGGGGGTGAGTTCATCCCTCATGAGGGGCTAGAGAGTCTCCTCTGTTACACATCCTTGCTTCACCCACTAACCCCCTGTTCTGTGGGTCTCTGGGAAAGCACACACCGTCCTGTGGGAGCCCTGGACACCGCGTTATGAGGTACGGGCACAGGACAAGCCTCGAGCCGCTGCCCAGCAGGGGTTGTGAGGAGTTTCATGGTTTTGTGCTGATTTAAAACCAAGGCTACATCTCACCAAATCATCATTATTGCATTAGTTGTGCCATTTGCCCAGGGATGCTGCAGATGTAGGTCTGCAGTAGCCGCCGGAGGAGTTGGCATTTGCTTTCCAAGCGCCTCGGCATGACCCCCATCCCCCCCAGCAAAGCCCAGGCATGAAGTACATGAAACAATTTTCCCAGCATTAGTTAAAAAGCCCTCAAGTCTCTGTGCGGGGGTGACGAGAGAGTGAAACAAGACATGTAAGATGTTTTATAAAGATATATTTTAACTTCTAAGGCACTCAGGAACCATGGTGATGAATGTGACACAAACCGAAATTGCTTAGATCTGAGCTCTGATCCACGGGGAGCTCTCCCAGGATTCATGAAGAGCCTGAGACACCAATAGCTGCCTGGGCTGAGTTTTGCTGGTGACACACTGCTGTGGTCCCAGACACTCACTGCCAGTTCAATGTCGGCCACTGCTCTGACAGCGTAAGGTGACCCCAGCGAAAGTGAGGATTCCTGCATAGTCTTGTGCCTTTAGGAAGTTAAAAACAGTCTCTCGCCCAAATTGTTGGGCAACTGACACCAAAACAAATTTACTTCCCCCCCACCCCAGTGTTTCCTTTTTTCCCCAGTCAGGTTCAGACCGACTTTGCAGGGAGCCCTCGGTGGTGTATACACCACGGAGTTAAGCCCAGCAAACAGATTCTGTGTTTGTTTTGTGCATGCCAAGGGGAGCACAAAAGATCATTAATCACAGAACTAAACTGCCAGTAATGACCTTGATCTTGCACTAGGCACTGTTCCCTCAGAGTCTGTCACTGTATTGTTGTTATTATCCCGTATTATCTGTCATGCTCTCGTTAGATTTGCTGGTCACACATACAGTTTGAAAACACAATTGCAATTTCAAGCCATTTTTATGTTCCTTAGTTTCATACAACTAGTTTACATTTATACTCTAAATATTTTAAAAGGGGTCCATTTTGCAGCAACCTTAAAAGCTTATTATAGAATGCTAACAATTTTAATTAATATACTGACATTTTGTTGCTGTCTGTATAAAATTAGCTTGCTTTTATTTCTCAGCTGCAGTAGCAGCAGTATCCAGGCACTGTCCTGCACTCCAGTAATGGAAATTTCCCAGCCTCAGAGCACACTCTGTCTCAGTCAGCTGCAATAAAACCGAGTGATTTCAATATTGGTGTGTGCTTTACTTGTCCCCGGTTATCTGGAGCTGGTATCTCCCCAAAACCAGCTACTCCTCATGAGCTTGCTCCGTCTTGCCCAAGACCTAAAACTCAGTAAACAAGCTCTGGATGATAAGAGAACTGAACCACCAGATAAAAGGTTATTTTTTTGCAGGGCTGATAAAAGCCCCGTGCGGATGGTCAGCGTTCACAGAGAAGCTTATAGTGACCCATGGGGACACCACTGCAGTCCTGGTATGGCCCCACTGTCGCCTTGTGCCCAAGCTTTACACCCTGGAAGGCTATTAGGGTTTTACAAAATGCCAGTGATACTGTTGATTGCTAGGAAAATACAAGAAAATACAAAAAAAGGAGATAAGATTATTACAAACGATAAGATTATTACAAAACCTCCCCAGTCTAATGATTTACAAATACTAAAATATGCAGTCTGTTTCCCCCACTTGTCCTCAGCTCAGCTGCAACCGGGACAAGTGACGCCTCCAACAGAGGCAGGAGTCAAAGAACGTAGGAACAGGATTATCAGGGGCTTATGTTGCCCAGATATTGCAGAAACTCTGGTTTTAATACTTCTCATAGCTAAAAATTTAGGGAGTGTTTGTGCTGAGGAGGTTGGTTGTGAGGGCAGAGAAGAAAGGATGATGAAGAAAAGAATCAAAGAGACTGCAGAGGTGGAGAAGAGCTAAAATGGACAATGAACGGGCAGTGGGATGAGCCCCGGGGACAGCGGGGCTGGAGGGGTGATGCCAGACCCCTGTGCCTCGTTTTGTGCCACCCACAGGACCCGGTTTGGGGGACAGTGCCAGACCCTCTGCAGAGAGACTGGCCTTCACGAGACACCATTGTCACCTGGGCAGCGTTCATCGCAGATAGCGGTGCAGCCAATGGTTTTGTGATGGCTCAGGTACAGCTCCTCCTTGTCTCCTGTCGTTACCTTTAGCCTGAGCGATGGGCAGTGGCTGAGCAGAACCAAGTGACAGGGAGCAGGACTCTAATGGCACCCTGAGATGTTCCTGTAAGAGTCACCAGGTTCAAAGCTTGGCCAGCACTAAAGGACCACCACAAGCCCAGCCTTGAGCGAGCCAGCAGCCATGGCAGTTATCCCCAGTCTGAGGTTCCCCACACAAACAGCCATCCCTGGCAGGGAACAAGCCCGGGCTGGGGGCCTCCTCTCCCTCACTGGCCAGGCCCTGACCTCGCTGAGGCCGAAGGACGGAGGCAGAAGAGGGACAGCCACGTCCTCAGCGGAGACACCTCAGGCACCTGCAGAGAAGCGGTGCCTTCACTCTCTGGGCTGCACCCAAGGGAAGGAGGGGTCAGGCCCTTCTCCTGAGAGCCCAGAGTCTGCACGGCATCTTGTAATGGGTATTAGTTAAATTACAGACATCTGTTTCTACAGTCCGAAATCGATGAATCATCGTTCATTTTTAAGACAGCCATTTCTGGTGCAGTTTTGTGTACCTGCAGCAGCAGGAGCTGCGCGGAGGAGAGGTGTCCTGGAGGAAGGGGTGTCACGGCGCGTTGAGAAGAGGAGCCCGGTGCTGGGATCCGCGTTGCGATACCGGGGCCGTGCAATTCCTCCCTGTGCTGCCTGTTTGTCACCAGAGACGCTCTCACCACATCGTACAACTTTCAAGTCTTTATTAATAAACACTCCTAGAGAAAAAAAAAATATCCAAATATACAACCCCCTGTGGCATCTGCCATTGTAAACAAAATAAGGTTTTCATTATATATATGAGGGGATTCTGTGCAAGAGAAGCAGATTTTGAGGGTCCCATCCACCTCCTGCTGAAGCCCACATTTCAGCTCTCATTAGGTCACTGGACCCCTGCTGGATGAATTTTTCTTATATGTAAATATCATGATGTTTGAATGAGCAAATGTAATTTTTACTATCAGCATTTGTCATTTTTGTAAACAGAGTGGATACACAGAGAACAAACATCTGCAGAATTACAGCACAGAGCCTTAGACAAAAATGGTGAAAGACAGATTTGCTTCTAACACCGCTAATCCGGGAGCGCTGAGGCACCTAATCACAGACACAGCCCCTGCAGATGTTCAGCCTGGCGCTGGCTCGCTGTGTGGCCTTTCCCACTCGACAGCTCTCCTGTCTCAATTAATTCTGCTGGATAAATTAACCAAGCCTGAGAAGGCAGCGCTGGGGAGCAGGAGGCTGCAGGTTCTTCAGCACCAGCAACCTCCTCGGTGGGATTCGCGCCCCAGCGGATAAGATCTCGGCAAGGAAATACAAATTATTGAGTCTGATTCAGGATGTTCTTGTGATCAGGGGCAGGACCCAGTCTGCAGCTGAGGGACACCAGGAGGGGCCGAGGAGGGAACTGAAGGATTGTGCCAACTCTGCAGGGGATAAGCCTTTTGGTAGGGAAGGACACGGCTAAGGCAGAGACAGCCTGCGTCTCGCAGTGCCCACCGCAGAAGGGGCTGGTGAAGCTCAGCACAAAGTTTAACGCTTCTCTGTGAGTTCGGGGTTTCTGGGGCAGACGGAAGATAGGAGCTGCCGGTCCCTGTGGTCACTCTGCTGCACAGGAACTCCAGATGAGCAACGGCTGCATTCAATTCTGCTGCTTTAAATGGCTGCAACGCTCTCAACTCTGCCATGAGGCTGTTAGCAGTTAGACCAGGGGAAAGATCAAACTTCAGAAAGATGTTCCCTCCAGCCACCAGCACTAGATCTAGCTAAATTGAATTAATAACTACATTTGTGGCTTTTTGGATTTGGAAAGTTTTAACAATGGGGAAATTACCTGCCTCGCGTTATTGTTGTCTTACCTTCCATACAGCAGTTATTGCTCCAGAAACTCAGAGCCGAATGGTCAGAGATGCTGTTTATAACTGCAATACATCCACCGTAATCAACCACTACATTTATCTCTCTCCGTTACCGAGTTTCTGGGTTTTGTACAGGAGACACAAAATTGTCGTGAGCATCTCTCAGCGTCCTGCATCTCACCCCACGTTTCGGTGTGATGTCTCGTTTCCCACGGATACTGACAGAGCTGAACTGAATCCCTGGCCTGGAAACCCTGAGAGAAAGACCAACAGCAATGAAAAGTGTTTTTCACTATTACAATAAAGGCTGCTTTAAAAACAAACAAGTTTTGCCTTTCCCGCAGGGAGGCAAAATCCCCCCACCCATAGAAAATGGATTAAAAGGGGAAGTGTCCCGCTCTCACGTCCCATTGACCTCGGTGAGGTGCAGCTGGGTAAATGCCAATATACAGATACATTTCCATCACAAACCCCAAACAGCTTTTACTGCTCCTTGTCGCAGATAGTAGGAATGCAGGATCTGTGCTCTTATCAAAGCCCAGTTTGGAGAAACATGTACCTGAGTAAGGGACACAAACAGGACTCCTCCTTCAGGGACAGCTACAGGAGAACAAACCCTTTAAAAGCCAGATCAGGAAGATGGGACCATTGCCCCACATTCAGGCATTTCCTGGTGCTTGTGGCAGCCACCTTCTGTGGTGGCTCTGAAAGCGTTCTCTTTCCTCCCTGGTTCCTCTTCCTCCCCGCTCGCCTGTGGCAGCATCCTCCTGGGCTCCTGCAGCCCCCTCCGTCCCCTCCGCTGTCTGAGGATCCCTTCTCTCCCCTCTCGGGCTGCCTGCACCTCCTGCCACCCGGGAGGAGAAGTGGCAGGTTTGGGGCAGAACAGCAGCAAAATGTTCCCCAGCACACCCCAAATCCTCCAAAACCCTGCCATTCATACTTCTCATTGCAGTCCCAGGCTCCATTCTCACAGTACCTAACTCTCCTCCTTTCCTGGGCTGGTATGTTTTTTGCTGAATTCATCTTTTTACAGTTTATTGAGCTGCACGAGCTCTGGCAAGCCCCAGCCCTGCACAGAGAGGCAGCAGGGCCAGCAGCAGTGTCCCTTTTTATCCCGCAGTCCATGAGGTCTGGCTCCGCTGCCATGCAGCATCACTCCCTAAATCCAGTTTTGTCTGTGGAACAGGGAGGTTTGACGACGCTGCTGAGAAGCTTCAGACTCTTCTCTTGCCTTTGCCATCCTTTGCTGCACTTTGGTCTGGAAAAATGCAGGACAAAAATAGTCACAAGGGCAGCGTCTCCCTCGCACACAGACGGCAGGAGCCGGGCAGAGGGAGGCAGGAGCCTTCCTCGGGAGGAGCGCCCGGCACAGCCCGGGGACAGCACCTCACCCACCCCAACACCCCGGATCCTGCCCCTCGGTGCTGGTCTCTCCCCAGCACCAAACCAGCCACCGCCGCGCTGGAGGGACTTTCTGTGCAGCTGCAGCGAGGGTGGGAGGCAGCCCCGCGGCGAAGGACAGAAGTATCTCGCTGTGTTTGTTTTGTGATGTGGTCCCATCATTTACACTGCTGAATTAACAAAAATAACAAGCCAGAAGCTTTCCAAGTGGGATCCATTGCTGACTGTTCCTTCGCTGCTCTATTCTTACTCCACTTACACCAGGAAGAGCACATTATCTGATAAATCGAGACATGAGAAGCAAATAAAGGCCTTTATATCATAAGGATAAAAAAACCTTTCTAGAAATACCGTAGGAACATTCACATCCTCTGTTTCTGTCTTTTATGAAAGGCAAGCTGTGTCTTATCATCAAGGAAAAAGTAAACAAACGTAATTTAATCAGTTCTGTCTTTCGGTGATTTGCATCAGCAAGAATAAAAGACAAAGGCAGAATGGAAAACAGCAGCTTTGTGCTGAAAGTTTGAATGCACAAAATACTTCTTTCTCCAGCTGTCAGACATTAAAAAACGCTCTGCATACCAGTGATAATAAACGTGTCACACAATTGGCCACAACAGGAATCACAATGCTTCATTAAAAGCTCCAGAGCGGAGCAGAAAAGCTTCCAGCCGTTTGTTGAACAGAACTCGATGCTGAGATGGTTTCAGAAAGTGTCAGAAGGAGCTTTTATCTCCTCCAGCCCCTCAGATAAACTCTCCCCGCTCACCCCAGCTCCGTGCAGCCCTCACCGATCCTGCCCCTCGGTGCTGGTCTCCCCAACACCCCGGATCCTGCCCCTCGGTGCTGGTCTCTCCCCAGCACCAAACCAGCCACCGCCGCGCTGGAGGGACTTTCTGTGCAGCTGCAGCGAGGGTGGGAGGCAGCCCCGCGGCGAAGGACAGAAGTATCTCGCTGTGTTTGTTTTGTGATGTGGTCCCATCATTTACACTGCTGAATTAACAAAAATAACAAGCCAGAAGCTTTCCAAGTGGGATCCATTGCTGACTGTTCCTTCGCTGCTCTATTCTTACTCCACTTACACCAGGAAGAGCACATTATCTGATAAATCGAGACATGAGAAGCAAATAAAGGCCTTTATATCATAAGGATAAAAAAACCTTTCTAGAAATACCGTAGGAACATTCACATCCTCTGTTTCTGTCTTTTATGAAAGGCAAGCTGTGTCTTATCATCAAGGAAAAAGTAAACAAACGTAATTTAATCAGTTCTGTCTTTCGGTGATTTGCATCAGCAAGAATAAAAGACAAAGGCAGAATGGAAAACAGCAGCTTTGTGCTGAAAGTTTGAATGCACAAAATACTTCTTTCTCCAGCTGTCAGACATTAAAAAATGCTCTGCATACCAGTGATAATAAACGTGTCACACAATTGGCCACAACAGGAATCACAATGCTTCATTAAAAGCTCCAGAGCGGAGCAGAAAAGCTTCCAGCCGTTTGTTGAACAGAACTCGATGCTGAGATGGTTTCAGAAAGTGTCAGAAGGAGCTTTTATCTCCTCCAGCCCCTCAGATAAACTCTCCCCGCTCACCCCAGCTCCGTGCAGCCCTCACAGCGGGATGTGCCACTCGCTCTCCTGGGACCGGGGCATCTCCCAGTAAAACCAGCGAAGGTTAATGTCCTTCCCAGTGACCCGGCCTCCATTCCAGGTGGGGCAGGGACATAATCAGGGGTTTGTATTTACATATGTAATTACAGAGAACCTAACCTATTTGCTCAGCTGACAGGCGATGCTGCGATAAGGAATTTTAGCAGACAGGATATTTATAGACCCTTTATCTCTACGTACAATCAGAACTAAAACGTCAAACAATACCCTGAACGAAGGGTTGTTTCAGTTCAACTTTTCCCCATTGTTGCTTTTCCTTTTTTTTTTTTTCCTCCCTCTGTCTGGTTACTGCCTAAAACTTGGCAGTGAGGAAAAAAAGGGAATGTGACTCACGCTGACAACTTCATTTGCTGTAAGAGCCCTGGGTAATTGCTCCAACCCACTTACAGGAAAGCGGCCCCTCCTCTCCCTCCACGCTGAGACAGCCCCGCTCTGGCACTGGGAGCTGGGGGTCACCGGCCCCCTTTCTTCTCACTTTTCTGGGGTCACATTCACCCCTCACGAGAGCTTAAAGCAGCTTCAGCACAAGGAGCAGGGTCCTGCCAGGGATTCCTCCCAAACCCGATGGCCAGGGCCCGGGAAGGGCTGTTGGGGGGGGGTGTCGGAGCGGCTGCTCCCCCCACGGCACCGCAGCCCGGGATAAGGGGACCAGAGGTCCAACAACTGTCACCTCCTGCTTTTCTGATGGGGTGGGGGCAGGGGACGGCGCCCGGGAACAGAAGAATCAGCACAGATGCCTATGCAGCACTCTACCAAAATATATTTTCATTTTTAATTACATAATCAACATAATGAGAGTGGCATTCGTAGTGAGGGGGCGGAACAGATGGCAAAGACTTCGTTTTCAGCAAGACATTAATTAACAACAACTCTGGTTTCTGCTAGAAAAGGGGGTTTGTTCTGCTCTAGCAGGGTCAGGACAGGCACTTACTACACGGGACAAACTCACTTTCCCAACACACAATTGTGACCGTTCAGTGGGTTTTTTCCCTACGTCCCTGTTGAAATTTCCAGGCTACTCTAAACCACAGCAACAGCCCACGGGCAAAACCTTATTAGAAACCAACACAAATTTGGCTCCAAGCAGTGGCTTGGGATCCTCCTTGCAAACATTTCTTGATGCTCTGTGGACACATAAACATGGAGAGGAAAGGGAAGAGGAGTTAATGTGATTAAATGAGGGAGCTTGGTGGAACTCAAACCGAGGGCTGTGTAACACACCGCGGCTGCACGCAGACACGGCTGGAGTTAAAGCTTTCTCAGATGCTCCACACGAAGTTCTCCCTCCTCTTTCCTCTCCGTGTTGGAAAGAGCTGTCCCAAGGGGACTGGAGAAGAAAGTAGCTATGAGAGATATTTATTAAAACCACAGGCAGAGAATACGTCACCCAGACACAATGAATAGGGAAACAGCACACGCAGCCGAAAAGTCTGGCCTCTGTTTTTCCTCTGATGTGCTGGCTGGATGGCCCTGACACACACCAAACAGCCTGACACACACACCCCCCAAACAGCCTGACCCCCCCGGAACAGCCCAACACACACACGGAACAGCCCGACACACACCCCCCAAACAGCCCGACACACACCGAACAGCCCACAAACCCCCAGCCCTTCCCTGCGGGAGGCGCAATCACTGCTCCTGCTTCACTGCCAGAGCTCTGCAGCCACAGCCGGGCCCTGCAGAGCCCTCGGGCCACATTCCTGCGGGGATTATATCCCTCCGGGGCAGGAGAGGGAGAGATGCTGCCGAAGGGATGGGCGAGGAGCAGGGAGGGAGAGGAGGAGAGTGTCAGAGGAGAGTCCTGCTGGAGGGAGAGGGGCAGCAGCACCTACAGAAAATGGGGCCTCTGGAGTCACCCGCTGTGGAGCTGGGGAAGGAACCCATCGCTCCCCTGCCCCATCCCCCTGCTGCCAGGGAAGGTCCAACAGCTGACAAGGAGCATCTCAGCCCGTGCCCGTGACACGCACGGATAGAAGGGACACGTTTCCACCACTCCCACTTCCTCCAGGCAGGCAGTGGATGGTTGTGGGTCTGTGCTGTAAACTGAAAATCATACCCCTACCCATCACCCAGGGGGAGTGGGTGATATGACAGCAGATGATTTTTTTAATTTTCTTTTCATGTGTGCGTAAAAAATAGTTGGGATGAGTTAAAAATTACAAGAATATTATGGTTACGAAGCCCAACACTAATCAATTAGTATATGCCTGAACTGAGACTGTCTGTTGCACCCTGTCTGAACTCAAACCATCAGCCCACACCACACTGCTCCCAGCCCTCGGAAGCGCATCCTGACACCGTTACCCCGAGCAGAACTGACCTGCAGGATCCCACACAACTGGGGCCTCCCTGGGTTCATGCTGTGTCCATCCAGAAACGGCCACGGGGAGGAACCCGGCCACTGGCACACATCAGACAGCAGAGATTCTTTGCAGGATGGGTTTTAGGAGAACTGCCAGATATCACCAAATCTGTGCTTCAGAGGTGCAAAGTAGAGGAAAGAAAAGAACACACATGATATTCTGCTCAGCCTGTCCTCCTCTCGCAGGGGTTCAGAGGGAGACGTGAGAATCAACAGAACTGTGTACTTACAGCTCCTTTACTGGGAGGAGAGAAGGGCAACTAAACCCCTTTGCAGATATTACCTTTAGAGAAATAAAACCAACACCACAAGAAGTTAACTCTTAGAGCAAAACCAAGAAGAAAAGCGACCAGCAGATGCAGAGACAAGCACTGACTTCAGTGTAGCTGCGAGGCTGAATTTGGCTTGAATTCCGTGAAGCACTTTCAAGGCAGGAGCATACTGCATACAAATGAGCGTTAAATAATTCGCATCATTAAGAGAGCTCCGAGCAGCTCATCTGGACTTTGAAAGCAGCTAAAGCAAATGTACATTGTTTGAATACCATTAGGGACAGTCATTAACTGGCATTAAGACATCTACAGTATCGACACTTAGTGCTGTAATAAGAGACCCATCCTCCTTCCCAGGTTATTTTCCTCTTATTGATTTGTAGAAATCCTTATGCACAAGCTTTCCAGCGCCCAGAGCTCAGCAGTTCAGAGAGGAATGCCCATTATAGAACTATACAATTACTTCTTTTTTCATATCGCATCTTTTAGTTTTGGTTTTTAGAAACATAGTCCTGTTTGGTTGGTGTAGATACCACAGACAGTTCAAACGCCGGGGTAGATCAAGGGAACAAAGACAGAAATAGGTGGATTTCCCCAGGATGACCCAGAAGGAACAGACTGCGGGGCCCGAATGCCCAGTTTTCTGGTTGAACCACGTCACCCTGAGCTCCGAGCAGAGCTGCCGAGGCCTGGGGTGAACTGTGGCCTCACACCCCATCTCGAATGCTTGGGAACGTGCTGCAGAAGCAGCAGGGACAGTACAGGGCGGGTCAGGTGAAGGAGGCAAGTCCTGCAAAGAACCAACGCTGAGATATAGATTAATAGGGCTGAAGATGCTCGACTGCAGGGCTGCGGAAACACCGGGAGGCACAGGGGGAGGCAGCAGCCCACGGGCAGGGGAAGGGGAGCTGGAAGGAGTCTCTAACGAAGGCAGAAATTGCTCCAAGTGACTCAGAATATTGGTATTCACAAAGAGAATTGAGAACAGGCAAAAATAAATAAAGCTGAAAGCAAACCCCAAAGGCCAAATCCCTCTCAGTAGCCAGAATGCTGATATAATCTGAGCGACCGAACAACAGGTCCTTGTGAAAACCCCTCTCCAGCCGCGTCCCACAGCCTCCCGGCATCTCCTGCCGCCCAAGGGCAGCTTCCAGGGCTGTGTTTCCACTGACACCCTTCCTCTGGCAAAGCGCAGCCCCGGTGGTCTCCCCTCCACACCCCAGCCCCGGGCTCCCCCCGACACCCCAGCTCATCCATCATGCAGCTTCTCAAACCTCCCTGGAGCCCCAGCAGCTCCGCTCCCACCGGCTGCCAGCTCTGTACCCACCACGGGCTCACGCTCCGGCAGAGTCCCAGCCCCAGGAGTTCTGTTGGTTGATGCCAACTCCCAGAGCTGCCATCAGCCCAGAATGCGTACAGGCTCCATTTCACTAAAAATCCAAGGTCTCTAAATTCTATGGTGAGGACTGAAAAAAAGATTGGTTTCATTTTTTCATACACGTGATGGCTTTTTGCCTTCCCTTTTTAATTCTTCATTAAAGAGCAGTGAAAGAAGTTACAGTTCTATACATCGGAAGTGAGAGCAGTAAGACGGCAACAGAGCAGGTCTCCTGGCAGAGCTCTCCCAGCTGGAGGAGAGACCCTCCCGAGGGGGCAATGGGGGCACGGGCTGCAGCGGGGCCAGCACTGAGTGCCCAGCCCTGGAGCAGCTCCCGGGGGATGCTGTCGGAGACGGGAGGATGCGCTGGAGCCGCTCCCGGGGGGGGCCATCAGACACAGCGGCCATTAGCCCGATAATGCACACCCGGGCTTGGCCGAGGGCTGCTTGGGAATAGCTCATTGACTTAACATTTCATTAACAAGAAAAAATTAGAAGACAGTTTTCTAATGGTAGGGACAGGCCTTTGCAACGTATCTTCCCATTACAAAAGGTGATGATTAGTAAGGGGAAGAAACAAACAGATTTCATTAGTGTTTATATCAGGATTTATTCATTAATCTTTCCTTAAACTGCTTCAAATTAAAAACTACTAAATTGCTTGGATCTCCTCTCTGTCTCTTTTACCCTACAGAAAGAAGCCACTTCCCAATCTCTTGCCAGCATTACCAAATAAAAAATTAAATAAACTGTTTTTCAAAGGTTTCAGTGTTGGTCCAAAACCAAGCACTTGAGATGCCTTCCCCGTGACCTGCTGGTCAGAATGCAGGGCAGCGTGGGGCAGGAGCCCTGCCCAGTGGCTCAGCCCGCAGCCCCAGACACCCTGTACCAGACTTTGGATGTAACCCCAGTAACCAAGGCCCAGGTTTGCCGGTCACTGCCGTGCCCTCACCCGTCACCCGCACACACCGTCAGCTCTGGGTCTGCAGTGAGAGGAAAGTCTGTCCGTGTATGATTTGATATTTCCAACATTCTGAAGAGCTACAAACCCGCTGCAGGGTGGGACAGAGCGAGGGGGAGGATCACATTGTGTTTCTAAAAGCAGCCTCACCAACGCGACAGCAAACCCTGCCCACGCTGCCGAGTCTGACCTTCGCCTCAGCTGCAGCGTCTCCAGAAAGACGGGGGCTCGAGGTGTCCAAAGGGGGAGCTGGCAGAGACATTGCAGCCCCGAATTCCTTCTCCTGCCCGAGTCCCTCCCGGCAGCAGCTCTGCCCCAGGACTCCTTTGGGAGCCACCACGAAGGACACGGTACCTGTAGGGCCCAATGGCCTTTGGGCAGCTCCGTCTGCCGGAGAGAACTCCCGATGGGGAGAACCCCCGACATGCCTCCAGTTCCCCCCACGCTGGCTGTTCCAGCTGTGGCACATCTGGGTGGCACCGGCTGTACCTACAGGAAGAAGCTGGGTGAAAACCTGACGTCAGTGGCCCAGCCCGTGTTACCTGTAACCCAGCAATTACACCGTCCTCAGCAGCTGGGATTAATTATAAATTAGAACATCTTCCAGCATAGACTTTGCACAAGGTTTTAAATGACTATAATTAATGACACAGAAAGCCTGAAGTGCCTTCTGGTCTATTGTTTAATTTTTTTTTTCCTTTCCCCACACTGACAGCAGGTCCTAGTTTGGGAAAGGAACTGGTATCTCCAACAGCCGGATAAACACACGGAGAAACACCTTCCAGGTCTTATATAGAGACAAACAAGGCTTTAGATTTTTTAAATCTTAACTAAGGGATGCAAAAAGAATATTATTCTGACCTCTTTACACACTTGACTTCCTTCCTGCCTCCCATTTAAAAGGCTTTTCCCGCCCCCCCGGTCCCTGCTGTTGCCCGTTACCGGGTCTGGGGCGGGGCAGCGGGACCCCGGCCCCAACCAGAGGCTGGAGCCTTAACCAGGAAAAAGCAAAACATGGGACTAGTGCCAGAAACACTGCGGCTTCTTACAAGGCAGAGGGAAGGAAGGGGGGGACAATCCCGTAGAGAAACCCCCCCCGGCGCCGCGGGCAGGGCCCGGCGGGGGCGGCCCCGAGGGGCTGGGGCGGGGGGCGAGCGCTCGGCCCGGACCGGGGAGGGCGCTTCCCTCCTGGCTCCCGGGACCCCCAGGAGCCGCGGGTACCCGCGGGAGGGTGGGCTCTGCCCCGCTCCGTGCTCAGGCAGGCAGAGAACTCCTGTACAAAATGAGCAGGTTTGTGTTTGTCAAGGCACGTTCAAAATATTTCTTTCCAAGAGCTACTTCTATTTCAAGGCTAGATAACAGCTGCACCGTTTAAACATTTAAATATTTTCTCATTCTAATGAGAACTTAAGATTCCTTCCAAACAGCTCAACATAACATGAGAACGTGGCAAACCCAAACTTCAAAACATTTTAACTCAGTAAAAAAAAAACAAACCAACACCAAAACACAAGTACCAAAAAGCATCTAACAAGATACGAAGAATTAGCTGGAGTGCACCAGGTAACAGATTTCGTTAGATATGCAAAGCAGAAGAGCTCAAGTACAGCTTAACGCTTTGAAATAAACAAGTTTTATGTAAGGGATGTTGACAGCAAAACATCTGCACAGCTACACGGGGACAACTGAATTATCCCTTTGGTGAAACAGGTAAATACTCACCACAGTCTCCACATGCCATTTGCAAGGACCTTTCTGCACGACATATTCAAAGTTATGCTTGATTTCTTAAAAAAAAATAAATAATAGAGACAGTACCGTGAAAGCCTGTAATCTACATTAGTGCCACCTGAAGAGCAAACGTGATCTAGATGCAGAAAATGTTTTGTCTGGCCCTTGTGGAAGAGCAGAGACATGTGCAGCCTGCATTACCAGAGAGCTGGAGACACTTTGCTCACTCCGTTCCCTGGGAGCAGAGGACAGGCAATTTCCAGACCAACCTGGCAGAGCTCAAGAACTGATTTCCGCACAGCAGCCCCAGTAAAGTTTCCTGGAGAACCTGGATGAAACCAGCAAGTACTAGTCAAGGTCAAGTGAGCAGCTCTACAAGAATTAAGCAGCCCTCGTCTGTGTTTGACAGTCACTAATTCAGGCTGAAACAGAAACATCTGCCTCATCACCACTGTTATTTCATTGCTTTCTACAGTCTAGGAAATGAGGGGCTATGGATTTTACAGCACATTGTCCACAAAGGAACATTCATCAGCTGGGGGTGGTTAGAGAGGACATGAAGATTTGTTGTTGCTTGCTCCAACAATGGAGGTGGATAACGCTTCTGTGTCATGAACCCCATCAACGGCACATACGTTTAGCTTCATGTAGCTTTAAATCCAAGTTTTACATTCATTTCCACGGGCTTATTGATCACTTCTTGCTCGCCCCCCCAGCAGCAGAGCCTGCAGATGACTGGTATCAGCAGAAGGCTGGCTGCGCGCCCCACGCTGAGTGGTGTCGCAGAGCAGAAGGCTGGCTGCGCGCCCCACGCTGAGCACGTGGGCTGCTGAGACCTGCTGGATGGGAGAAAACCCTCCCCAGTGAGACAGCACGGCCAACGAGCACCACCACGCCTGGTTTCACCTCCTCCTGACCAAAGGCAGACAGCAAAGCCCACGCTGGGCTCCCATGCAGCTTTCTGGGCTCTTACCGGATTTTAGTTTCTCTTCTTCACTAGGATAAATACAACAGAATTTAGACAACCTGCCTAACAGACTCACCTCAGACCCCCAGGACTGTTAAACTTGCCCCGTGTTGTCTCCGGTCTCTGTCCTGCTCTCCTTACACCTTCCTTTCTGGAGGATACGACACCAGCACCTCAGAAACAATCACACAGACCAGCTTCCAAGCCAGACTGGTATTTTGAAAGTTACCATCTGTCTCAAAACTTCCTCTGAGTTCTGTACCAAATCAGCCCTAGGGTACTCCAAGAGCTCGCTGCCCATCCGTCCCGTCCTGCGGTCACAGACCACGTCGTTAACAGTGTGCACGTCAACAACCAGCCCTCACTGTCTCCGCTGCACCGGGGCCGCTCAGATCCTCACCCCGGCACCGAAGCCCCCAGGCAGCACCTCAGACTTCACCTGCACGACGGCTGCTGTGAGCTGGTAAAAATGAGAGAAAACTTCCACCACACCAAGGAGCTGGCAGGACACTGTCCATTTCTAAGGCGGTTCTAGTCACCTCATCTTTTCAAGCAAGCGTCCTCTGTGATCCCAGGGACTGGTTCCTTCTTGTGCTCCCAACACTCTCTGTGCCCTGGAAGAAGGCAGATTTGGTGACAAGGTGACCACTCAAAGATGTGCAGCGTGACCACTGCGGATCCAGCTACTTGAAGTATTAGAATGGAAAATACATTTAAGAAAAGAAACAAAGAATGCTTCAAATCACTATGCTTTATTAATACTTCAGAAACATCAGGTCCTACAGCGGAGAGTCTTGTCCCCACCGCTTTCCAATCACTGCTTTGAAACAACTTCTTGCAATATGCAAATAGATACATGAGGCACTGTGTGAGTACAAAAGTGACAATACAAAAACCCAACAATTAAACCTCATGCAATACATACAGATATATAAAAAATATGATAACGTAGCATAATACACACAAGCACTATTAGAACAACCCATGTAAATGAATGTACAATATGCATAGCATTTAATGATCAATGACAACCGGTTTCTGACCTGTGAACAAAACCAGTCAGCTTAAATAAGATTTTTAAGATACTAGGTAACTGGTTAAGCCACAGCATATAAAACCTGCTGTACTGCAGCTTTTCTGCTCAGGGTCACAAGTGCAGATTAGCATACAAAATAAATAAGGACTACGACTCTACAACACTTGGCTAATGGCTCCTATTTCAAAATCACTGGCCCTCTTACTTTCATTCAAGGTTCATTAGCCAACACAGTGGCAAGAAACGTGCCAAGCGCAACAGTTCTGCTCTTGTACTGGTTTAATACTGATAAGAACACACACTTTTGAGTCAGCAGGAGTAGTTACAGGGGTCTAACTTACCACTAACTAAGCAGGGGACTGAGATTATGGCGCAGAGCAGAGGCTGGGTGAGGGCTGAGCAGCCCCGGGGTTTGCTGGGGTCACCAACCTGCCGGCTCCGTCACCGGGAGAGAGGGAGAGCAGAGGGGGCGGAGGCAGGCAGAAAACTGGTTCCCTCACTCTAAACAGTGCAAACATTTGAGAACACAAACAATCTGCAGGAATAAGGAAATACAGAGACAAGACTATTTCTGAAGTCCTATATTCCATATTGAGCTACTGTTACCTGAAATCAGCTTAAGTGTTCCTATGGAACAACATGCAAATAACAGCAATAACACCAGTATGTGTCCAGTCCTGGTGGGTGCCAAAGACCCAACAGCTGTGGCAGTCTCTGATCTTCCTACCTGCCATGGGACTTCCTACTCTCTTGGTGCTGCAGCCTCCAAAGATACGACCCCATTCACTATGAACACAGATGAAATTAAGATCAGAAAAGGGCAACTTAACTGTCTTAACAGTGGAGTTTACAGCATTTTGGCAAGGGGGGCTGACAATGTAAAAGGACATAAGAGATGGAAGAAAAAGCAAATTGGGAAGAGAATACGGAGAAGACAGCAGGACTGACTTTCATAAAAGGAAGTTAGAAGTAGTTAAAGTCAGTTAAAAGTACTTAAAGCTAAAACTTCATACTGGCCTTTATTTTTGGCAGTATAAAATTTTAACCCCCAACAAAACAAACATCTTGCTATTATTAGACACACTGAAAGAAAAAAGAAAAAATAAGCAAGCAACATTAATCACCCAGTACTAAGCAAAATGCCTTCTACTGAAGTTAAAAGGGCAACATGCAAAAGAGGAACTCATAGTATTTAATTGCCCTGAGAAGGTCCCTCTGGTTTCTTAGTGATTATCTCTTTATGCTTAGACACCCAAAAGAGCCATCCTTCCTTAGGTAAAGGGATAAATGCTTCCTGCAGGGAGATGGTCACAGCTCCCACCTTCCACGGCCTGGGGCACTAAAGGATGGTCTGGCCCTTGTGCAGGGAAATCCAGAACCATTTAATCATTAATACGTTCAGTACTTGCTATATTAATATCTCCTGGAAATTAGTAATCAGGCTTAATAGCTGAGAGAAAATTCAATAATCATAATCTAACTAGTCATAAAGCCCAGATATATTTAACTTTATAAGGAGATGAATGTATCTTCTCTCCTCAGACTAAAAAGCACATATCAACAAGAAGACATGAAACCCTGACTGAGAGGAGTTTGTTAACAAAATAAAGCAGACATTACAAAACAGCCAAATTCTTTTGCTTAAAACAGTGGTTTTAAGATGACAGAGTGCTGCCAACTCTTCTAGGCTTTTTTTTTTATTCCATTGTTTGCATTCCAAGAAGCTTGAAAACATTTCTTTTCCTATTGATTTGTCCTCTTCTGTTTGACAAAAGCTGCATCTTGCTGAATTTTCCCCGCTGCCAACACAGCTGCCTTTTGTTTATCTCTGTGCTCCGGCGGCAGCAGGCACAGCCCCAAAAACACATTAATCCAGCGGCACCGAGCAGCTTCTGTTCAGGCCCTGACAGGTCACACCAAATAAAGGGCTCAGTGACTCTCAGCAAGATTTTGGGTTCCTGTTCTGTTGAGAGAGCAGGTTAGCACTAAAGCCTACCTGTTCATTTTAAGGTAGTATTTCAAGTGGTGTCTAAGACAGATGGGTGTTGAGGTCCAGGCACTCCCTCGTCTCCACGTGACTACTTTCCAGCTGACATCAATATAAATAACTTTAGAGAACGTAAAATCCAATAAATACATTAAAACCAACCCAAACACGAGCAGAAGGTGGCTGGGTTAGCTCTCAGTGCTGTTAGTGCTGCTGAACAAGCGCTCCCCGGGCTGTCTGATGGCTGGGCAGGAGCCCAGGGAGGACCAGCCACGGGTTGGGGTCAGTTGGAAAGGTGACCCCCTTCCTGACGGATGTTCTGTCCATCAGGAGGTTTTGCCCCTCAAGAAGGGGAAGGGACCATCACTTCCCAGTGGGGTTTTGTCTGATGCTTCTGGCCCGACTATAAAAGGGACAGTGATAGAACTAAGCAGGAAAATTTAATTCAGGCTTAACTAGAGCTAAATTATATTTGAATCACCTGCAACGTGCCCTGCTGTGGCTCACATCTCCCCCTTCTCCCTGCAGCTACTTCAGGACTGTCAGAAATAGCCCAGTCTGGGCTATCAAGGACCAGCAGCACAAGCACACCAGGAATTTAACCAACATTCTCACACTCGACTAACTGTTTGTGCCCATCACAGACTGAGGGCAGTGGCTGGTGACCACCTGTGCCACACCATTCAGAAATACCCCCCATTCCTCGGCCACATTCTTTAGAAGCGGCTTTATGTCAGTTTTTAAAGGATTGCCTGGGAGGGGAGTTTTAACCCCAAACAGCTGCTTTATGCCACCGACTGAGCACGGGTGCTCCAGTGCAGCCAGCCACCCTCTCCCCAGCACTCCGAGAGCAGGAGGGGCACTCTTCCCAACATCCAACAACAAAATGGAAATTTCAGTGGCTTTTCATGACAAAAAGCTAATAGCACTGGAAATGCTTTTAAGAAGAGCAGCATTTCATCTGACTTTGAATTCAGATAAGCGTCTATTAAATGCTATTAAAGTCATCACTGTGATTAACAGTGTTCAGCTGCCAACTCTGCTGCAGCCGCTCGGTGCCCAATTCCTCCCCAGCCACGCGGGCTCATTACGAGGCGTCAGGGCAGCGGCTGCAGGGACCGGTTCCCCGGCAGCACCTCACCAGCCGACCTGCAGAACCTGCCATCCGGCAGGACCAGCCCCACGGCAGCACCAGGGGGTCACCATCAGGCAGTGACACGACCTCAGACGCTTTTACTGCCATTCCTGCCTTGGCTGTTCGAAGACAGAGTCACCACATCTCGGTTTTGCCTTTTTAATGGGTGTGTTTCTAATTCTTTCAAGCGCTGGTATTTCACTCTAAAGAACTGACATTTGTAGCTCTATTTTCCAGCCCACTTCCTTTTTAAAATAGGCATTAATAATACTTAAATGCATTCCTGTCTCTCTCTTTCACTCCTCCATCATTCAGAGGGTGGATTTTACTTAATCTCCATCAGTTCCAAAAATTTTCCTGCATTTCTATCCTCTCTATTCTCAAAAAACACCCCAAAAACAACCCCCCCCAACAAATGTCATTTGTAAAATTGTAATCTTGTCTATGTCAGACCCAGAAGACTTCACTGCCTTTGGTGTGTTTCTTTGCAGGAGAGGGAAGGGAAAGAAAGGTAGAAATAAGAATTACCCATGAGCAAGAGAGATGCTGGGTCCCCACTGAGCAGAACAACTCAGGCTGGTTTCCAATCAAGCACAACACAAGAATTTAAGCATGCTCTGTTTTGAAACTGCAGGCTGCTTTAAGGAGCAGATTTTCTGATGCTGGGTGCTAAAATGCAGCAGCAGGCATTCATTTGGAGTCTAGCAAAATACAAAAATACTTTAATTTTTCATTAAACATTTGTCTTGAATCCTTCAGCTAACTTCCACAGCTGCAAAGATCTTGGCTAGAATCAAGAACTGGTTTTGTTGCAGGCCCATCAGAAAGACAAGAAGGAAACAAGCAAATTAGTCTATTTGTCATTAGTCAATTTCTCGTTGGTGGACAAGTGTTAATATATTGTAGATGACACTGGGAAGGCCCAGAGAGGCGAGATCATTCTCTCCTCCAAAATTACATTTTGTCTTGAACCAAAGGAGGGAAGGAAAACAGAACAGAACAACCAGCACCAGAAATCCCAGACGTTTTAAGAGGAAAGGTATGAAAAGCTAATGTAGCACATTAGTACTATAAATTCAAAACACAGCACCGCTCCGTATTTCGGACTCTTTAGTTCAACTTCATAACCTCCTGCTGGAGCCCCTTCCCCACTCTCCTCCCCACCCACCCCGGTGACACTTCTCCTAACAGTATTACACATTACAGCTCGTGGCTTCTCCAAGTGCTATCAAAGTCCCGTTTAAAAAAAAAAAAAAAAAAATTTTTCAAATTTGAACCAAGTAAGGATATTCTCACATAGATGTAAGTATCCATTGAAAGACTTGGACCTTCTCTCCTCTGTAATGCAGATCTGCCCCAGAAAGGCTGAAATAAAGGGAACATTACAAAGAATTTGGCTTGTTCAGTTCCCTCCATGTTTCAGGAAGTTTGGCAGATTTAAAGACTAAACCATACTAAGAATTCACCAACATTTCACACCTCCCTTCATGAATACAACAGCTTCCCCCTCTCCTGATAAACCTCAGATAGCAGTGAAATCAAATAATTCTGTATGATCCTTTCTGTATTAATAATGAGAACTGTTTCCAAGACACGAAGAGGCACTAGTGGTCATCATAATGTAGCACGACACTGACTACCTGGGTTAGAAATCAAAGAGATGGTGAATCCAGAGGGATCACTAGGCAAGGCTGAAGCTTCCTTAGCAGACGTGGGCTCACTACAAAAACTCACTAGTGGCCATTCACTACAACGGCTACCCCCAGCTGCCGTCTCAGCCAGGCTCCCTGCCTGACGGTAAATGCAGGATGGAGAAGCGCTTGCAGCCTCCTCAGGGGAAAAGCTCCTGCCCTTGCACAGCAGAACAAGGCAGTGACCGAGGTGCTGTGTTAAACCCTACCATCCAGCCCAAAGCCCCGGGAGCTCGGGTACCCGCACGGCCCCACGCCAGCCCAGGGCCCAGCGTCCCTGCGGACACCAGCAGCGCTGCTCCATCCTCCCCGTCAGCCATCTCTGCTGCCTGCACCTCCTGCAGCAGCCTCCCTGCACGCTTTAACCGAGCCTGCGACGCCGGGCGCGTCCGAAGGAGGCCCACAGTGGTGCTGCCGGGCACAAAGCACTGCTTGTTCAGACCAGGAATTACTAGCACACCAGCTCTGGCTGTGTCCTGTGAGCCAGGCCAGGCGTCAGGAGCCCCAGCACGTAACGGACACGACAGGCACAGACAATGTACACACTCCCTGCCAGTCCTCCATCCCCACCTCGGCTTCACATCTCATCAAGTATGGCCAAATTAACCATCTATTAATCAAAACCTGGTACTAAACTGTTTCTAGTTCCTGTTACTAAATTTCCTGTGAAGGTCAGAAGCGTATTTGTTTTTAAACAAAAGCCAGGATGACTCAGACTGTTACTTTATGATTAACTCAGTGGCGCTTTTTTGCACGGGCAGGGGGTAAGTCACAGTCACTATTGTGGAACTTTCTACTACAAGCCACAAGATTTGGCAAGAATGGACAAGATGTTTTCTTGAAACCTAGTTCCCACTACAATCATTCACAAAAATGAAATATTTAAGTGCATTAAACACCAGTTTTAAGGAAATAAAAAGAGTCACATTCTAAAACCACCATAAACTGGCTCACCAGAATATGACAGGAAGCCAGCAATCCTTGGGTGAAATATTTAAGGCACTTGAGGGTAGTCAGTTTTTAAACGCAGGTAATAAAGACACAGCCACTTTAAAATTCTAGTTTAAATAAAAACCACAACAAAATAAAATAACACTGCAAAAAATTCCTCCAACTGTAAAGTTCAGTAAATAAACAAATAAATGCTTAGAATAAAAATAAAATTCTCCTTTGTATAGTACACAAAAAAGTGGCAGAAACAGAGCATATTTAACTGCTAGAGTATACATACTGTAAAGATCTCTCTCAAATACAACAATAAGGGTCCTTTCTTTCCAGATTGCCAAATAGCCAATAAAGCATGTTTGTGAGGGAGAAACAACCCAGTGCAGTTAAATATTGGATTCCAGTTTATAAACCAGAGCATCCCAGAAGCAGCCGATTCTGTACATTTTGCCTGGGATATTTCTTGCTCTTTTTTCTGGAGCATTCACTTTCATTTTCTCCTCTCCATGCACACACAAACGACTGTCTCTGAATAGAGACCGCCTCATTTCATACCATCTTTGGTACAGAACAGGAGGAACTTAGGGAGCCGCGTGGTGCCACCCAGCCCCTCACACACCGAGTCCATCCCCACGGACCACGGGTGGGACCAAGCTCCTCTGCAATGGCGACAGCTTCTCTCCTCCCAGTCTCCACAGTAACACCACAATTAAACACAACATACAGCATTCTTTGTAAGCGCTAATAGAAGTTTTCACTCGAAATTCACAAACGGGTATTCTCACCCATTAGCTTATACATATCACAGTTTCTTACCACTTCCAGGGCAGAAGGACCTGACCAGAAGCCCTGGACACACTCTAGCATCTGCTCCCAGAGACAGGGCAGCTGTGCAGAGCTCCACATCTGCTCAGGGTTTTGGAAGGGAGAGGGAAGAAAGGAGAAGACAAATGTGAACTCAGTAAAAGGAGTCTCGCCTTTCTGCTAAATGTTTGTCCATTTGTCATTTTTTGCCTGACACATTTTGCCTACTGTATTAGAGGCTTCTTCAGTGGAAAGCAGTTCCTTACGTGAACTTAACTGAACGTTCTGGATTAAGTACATTTTGTCACTGTGTGGCTGCTGCCTCACAGCTGAGGAAATTGAAGGGTGAGCTCCGAGCGTCATCACCAGCACCGAGGCCCTTGGGGTCTCTGAGACAGTCAGCCAAGATGTCCTGAGGATCCCTCAGGAACACCACCAGGACCGTGATGTTGTCACTGGATCCGTTTTCCTTCGCAGCAGCCACCAGCCGCTCTGCTGCGTGGAGACCCACTCCTTCGCTCTGCATTAAGTGGTCCAGGACCAAGTCTACAACCTCATAGGGCTTGACGGCATCAAAGAACCCATCGCAGGCCAGGAGCAAGTAATCCTCAGAACCAGTCAGCTCAAATGAATCCCCGTCAGCATCGCCAGAGACGTAAGGTTTCTGACATATGTCACCTGGGACAAACAACGAAAACAAAGGCTTTATTACTTTATTCTATCAGTTTGGTGAAAGATATATTAAAGTGGACAAAAAAAAAAAAAACCAGCAAGTGGACATTCAGAAACACAAAGATGCCTAGATGAACATTTATTACTTCCTCCGCTTTTACAAATTAAATACTCTATGTTTGTTAAGGTACTGTGGAACACCACAGTAAAAAAAAAGATGCTTACAAGAAGCAAAAGACTGAGAAGTATAAAAGAGTTGGGACTGTCATGGCTAGTAGGTAAAGTAAAACAATATTCCATGCTTATGGTAAAACCAGTAGAGTTATATAGCTGCAACCGCACCTTATGGCAAAGACAGTAAGAGTGGTTCACTATTTGGTGGATGCTGAAGAGAACGCCATTTACAGTAAACATACCATTTCGGGTGGTGTACTTTATATCAAATTTAATCTGAACTACACTAATTCTGATGGTTTATCTTACCAATTGCTCTGGAAACAGCCAAGGTGCCATTAACTCGCCAGCAGTCCATGTACGTCACGCAGCCGCCCAGCGCCTCAATGCGCGCCCTCTCATCCTGGAAAACAGAACATAGTCTTTATACTGTTATCTTATCAAAGAGGGGAAAAGAGACAAAATCCCAAACCAAGAGCTGCTTCAGCTTCTGTACGTACACTATGAACAGAGCAAGCACAGGTATCAGAGCCCAGCTGGGAACCATGCACTTCAGATTACTGGGAACAACCCACCGACTTCCCAACCGTACCACGGCCTGTCCACAAAACAGCAGGATTCTGAAGGTTTTGTACCATCACCTTTTTTCCCATATGAATGAGTACACTTTCTGCCATTTCTTTGCATCTCATGCAGCAATTGGGTAAATACATACACATTTGGAACAAAATACAAGATATCTAGAGTAGGTTACAACAGCATTTGCATTGATACTCCTTTATCTACTTCAGTTACTACAAATATTCATGCTATGAAGGCAAAGGCTCATGCAATGCCATCTAAACTAGCAAGATCCCCAACAGATTTCATGTAATAAAATGCCTGGCTATTTAAAATATATAGAAAATGCAATATACTTTAAGCCAGTTAGGCTAGTAGATTATCACTTGTTTTTGAATGATAGGATGGCATATTATGAAAGACTTCCATTATGCTAACATTTTAAATAGCTACTAATCTCAAATGAAAAAGTTCATTTGTAACAGGCAGTTTGAAATTCACACACACAAAAAAATCCTGTGAGTGTCTTTAATTACTACAGATTTCGAAAAGACAGTCTGAGCAGGAACTGAAGTCAGGACTACCGAAGGGGACGTAATCGTAGGCATCACCTTCTCAAGAGTGGATGGAAAAACCAAATGGTCCGTTCTCTGAACCCTACCATACAATGTATGTAATTGTGTAAAGCACCAAACACCTACCAAGGCTTGACTCCCAAACGTTTCAAGAGAGATTCTGACAACACACACAGGAGAAAAAGAATCCACATCAGACTTACTTCTCTTTCTGGCTTGTGAGGTTCCATCAGTGTCACAGCTTTTCCCTGCTGCACGAGCATCACCTGCGAGTCCCCCAGCCAGGCAATGTGCAGGTCGTTGCCCACAATCAAGGCAGACACTCCCGTGGTACCGCTCCGCAGCTTCTACGCAAGAAAGCAGGAATTCAGGTGAATGTTCAACAAACCCTACTAGATTAGATGGCAACATGGCAAATGGAGGTTTAACCACACTTCAATGCCCCACACTTCAATGCCAATCGTGACTCAGGTACCTGAAGAAAGGTACAAGATATTAGACAGATTTGAAATAAACCACTTACATATTCTAACATGCAGATGGCTAATACTGCCTCTGCTATGTTCTTCCTGCTCTGCTATTAATTCCAAAAGTTATCTAGGAGACGGAGACCCACACAGAGACACGTAGAAAAGAAAGAGGATCTGAATTTCTATGAATTTCTATGATTCTATGATTTAAATCACAGAATACCTTTTTCATGTTACAATCGCTTGTGACATTAATGGTGGGACAAGGAAGAGGCAGATAGTGACTGTACTATCAGGAAGAGAGAAACCTCTTTTACAGGTCAGAGGCGGGACAACAGAACATCTAGAGGCTGCCTAACTGAGGCAAAGAGGCAGCAAAAATCCCTATCAAATAATTGGGATGTCAGGATCATTTAAACCACATCACATTCCTCTTCAATCACTCATCTTGAACTTGCAAGCACTGTCATTTTGTTTTCCCTCAAAAAGAGAAATAGTTTTATCCAAGAAAACCTCTACATGTAGTGTAATTTCAGAAAGTCAGTGATTCAAACTGTACTGCCAGAATCTTCCATGTTATCCAACAGTTCTCACGTTACTTAAATATAATGGAATTAATCTCTACCCACTCACCTCTCTTTTGGCTTTGAAAAGAAACATTTCATCTGTCTTCTGGAAAGAGCATTTCAAGGCCTCAGCTGGATTCTTAACAATCTCTTCATGTAGCCCCACATTCACATGTAAATGGGTTGCTGAGTAATTGGCAGCATCCACTCCACCATGGCCGTCAAATACCGCAAAGTAAGCGCGATCAACGTCATCCTTTTTGGGGAGGGAGACAGAGGAAGCGTGTAAGTGCTCAGAACTAAAATAGCTCAAAGTGGTACCAGCAAGCAAAGATCCTTTATCTGGGCTGTCTTCCATACGTAAGCATGGGTAAGGGCAGTTTAAGTCAGTTTACCCACGTGCAAAATGCATAAAATGGGTACTTTACAGGGGAATTACTTTTCTTTGTTTGCTGTTAGTCACTCAGTATCCTTAAAATTCATCTGGAATTGGAAGAGCAGACAGTTGGTTATGGAATCCCACTGCAGCCTCATTAATTGGCACATGTCCTTGTTCAGCTGCTGTTCTCCCCGCTTCTTTTCTAACGTATCAGTTACCACAGTCACAAGAAGATTTTAACTGCAGCAACATAACTGTAAGTGAACCTCCCGTCTCCCTGTATCACTTATGACATGAAACCCGAGGTCAGGAGACCTCTCTCTCTTTATGAGGGCAGCAGTCAGACCCCAGCCACCCGAGTCAGTACCTCCTTGCTCCAGCACAGACATGATCAATAACTTGTGGCCACAAACTCTGACACTTCACCGACCATCCCTCACTAGGCCATCGTGTTTACAATGATGCTGAAGAGCCAACAAACCGCCCTCCCCAGTTCTGTCCAGACTCACTGATAAACCAAACAGCTGGTTGAACTCTGGGAGCAGAACGTGCCGGTCCTCCATCTTCCGTCGCGTGTTGCGGATGGCGTGGATGGAGACCAGCAGGAAGCGCTTCAGCGGCCTCAGGGGTGGCAACTGCTTCTGCCACTCCAGGCAGACCTCCCGCAGCTTGTTGAAGAAGCAGCGCTGCAGCAGCTCTCCGTCCAGCACTGACAGCACAGAGACAAAACAACACTGCAAGTTGCAATGGAAAACAGTGTAACATTAAAGGTAAGACCAGCTTCTTTACTTCCTAGTTCTCCTTCAAAACAGCAGCTTATCAAGTAGGTGATTACATTACCAAAAATCATAACGAAGACCCAAAAATCAGCCTGGCATATTAGACATAAATATTACTATGCAAATAAAATGCAAAAGATATAGTGGTAGGAGAGCATCCCTACTCCCCTTCCCCCCCCTCAAAAAAAAAAGGGAAATAATCAAGCAGGCAGAAAAGCCTTCAAGACAGGAGATTGCTGCTGTCTTGGACAGGAGGGCTGAAAAAGCTTCAGCCCGGCTCTGGGTCAGGTTATGTCCTACTGAACCACTTCCACTAAACAACATGGAACTCTGAGAGTGTTTTGCTGAGGTCAAAAGCTCAACTCATAATTGAACTGAAGTGAAATTATCCAATGAGGAAAAAAAATGTTCTTAACTAATTCAGTTGAGGAAGCAGAGTGGACACATTCATTAATTCTTTTTGGGAAGAGAGTTTCTCTTTCCAGAAAGCCAATCCACACAATGAGTCCAGGGCTCCAGACACATTTGCATCGTGCCCACAAAACTCTGCGCAGCTACCTTTCATCCCCCAGACACCCAGCAGGAGCAAATAAAGCTCTGCTCGCTGCTGCTTGCCAAACAGCCTCACCAAATATTCTGGGAAACATTTCAAAACACTGAAGTCTTCCAACACACAGCCTCTGGGAAAACCACAAAAGGAAAAAAACATACTCACAGGTGAAACTCTCCTCATCTCCTTCTCCCTCTGTTTCCACACTTTGCTGCTTAAATTCAGTCAAGTCTGTTTGGAGGACTTCATCAACAGCAGCGTGGATCAACGATGCTGCGAGAAGCGGTGAGACACCTCTGCTGGTAAGAAAAGGGAGGGAAAGCAAAATAGACTGCATTAAATTGAGCCACAACCTCCCCGTTAAGGCTAGTGACCTCAGAATTAGAAAGCATTACACACAATCAATAATTCCAACTTCATTAGTAAACTAGCAGAGGAAACCATATATTCAATATTTATTCATACAAGTCTTTAGTAAGATCTTCAGTTAGACAGCTGCTTTCTCAAGAACGCAAGGAGGAAGCAGTGTATGAATCATGTTTTCAAACTGTTGCCTCACACTCCAGTCGCAGATGGTACCTCCTCCTCCCGAGCTCTCGGATGGGAGCTGCTACCTTTGGTTCTAGCCTCTGAACACAAACTTTCTATTGGCTACACAACATTTCTAGCTCGCAGTAAACTGTCTCACCACAGACAGCATCAGGATCTCTGTGCTGCAGTACACACAAACCTCCCAAAAGGCTAATTAAGGCTCCAGTTCCCTTCCCTCCACAAGAAAAGTCCTGCCTAGTACCAACCTATAGCCCTTTAACACCCAGATCCTCCTGGCTGGAAGTTGCCCAAAGAAATCACACAGCAAGAAGATGCAGAGCTGGCACTGGGGACCAGGCTAAGAAAAGACTCCAAGACTTGTGATTCAGCTGAAGTTTTTAGAAAAGCACCTAGAAGACAGTAACGCCAATAATACACACCCTCTCCTTTCCACTCAATGCTTTATGCAAGCTCCGGGCTTTATAGGAAGCACATACTTGCTTCAGTTCTTTTGAATCTGTAAACAAATAAGCCCCATCCAACTTTAAAATGAGGCTACTAGAAAATAACTCTTTTATATTCACTATATTCCTGTGGCAGGCACTAACAATTACAGTACATAACACACATTCCAGACATTTTCTACGAGCACAATGAAGAATAAGCGTGGATGTCCATAAAAAGAATTTTATCCATTGTTCATGGAGTGTTTGATACCCACAAAGCACCGAATTATACAACCAAAGCAAATAACATATTAAGGCACCTGCAGCAAGTCAGGGACAAGACTGTTTTGCCAGGAAACGTTTAGAAAGTCCTGCACAAAACTGGCTGGCTCCCGAGACAGAAATGGTGGAAACAACTGGTCTCCGCAGAGGTCCCACAGAGATGGCTGGGTTTGTGCTGGGAGGGGAGGACCGTGGGGTTCGAGTACCAGTGACAAGCAGCTGGAAAGCATTTCCCATTGTGTTTGTGGAACAGGGGCCTTGTCACAGCCCAGCAGCCACGCACGTACCTCCCGGGGCAGCGGCAGAGAGCCCTGTGCTGGCAGCAGGGGCCAACAGCAGCCCGTTCCACACTACCTTCTGCAGCGGCGCCGGCCGGCTTTCATGGCTCATTTTGGCCCTTCAGTTAGATGGCAGAGCCTCTGCAGCCCTTCCAGTGCCAGCTGCAGCCACAGCCAGGAAGGGCAGAAAGTGGCTTTTCCCCCCTCCCTGGAGTAACATGTTTAGGGGAGTCAGTTCCTTTCCTACCCAGGTTAGAAATCACAATGCCTGCTTATCATCACTCTGACGCCAACAGACAGCCTGTTAAAAGGTCAGGCAAGAAACACATCCCAAACGGATATGGCACCCCCCCCCCGAAAAAAATCCTGCTTCCTGTTTGCGTTTGTATAGATGGAGAAGAAAGGAATATGAAAATACAAGCCACAAAAACAATGTCAGATGTGTAGCTGAAAGTCAGAAGCTTTAGTTAAAGTAGGTTTCAGCTCCAAGAATAGAGACAAGTATTAAGTGAAACAGCTATGCATTTAAACGCATAGCGAGAGCCACAGCTTCAGTCACCTTCAGAACTTCTCTGCCAGGTTCGAGGAAAAATTCAAACCTGAGCTAGGTTTCCAGTTCGGCATCAGAAGAGGGCTTAATGATTTTAAACTTCATCGACTTCTGCTTTCCAGAGCCCTGACTTGCTGAGCTGGGTCCATAAAAAGCAGCTTAAACAAAAGGCAATGTACCAAGTGCTATAATTCACACGTCCTGTATAAGCCTCTGCTTACAGGATGCCTAGAACAAAGAAAAGGTTTAGGCATTATTATGTCACATCCTTCTACTTTTTCCAGTTGCCACCCATTCCTAGAAGGGAAATTCATGGATTCCTCAGTACTGATATACTTCATTCAGCTTTGCTTCCTATGCATTTCCTCCCTCTCCACAGTTTTGCAAATCTATACAAAGAAAATGGTTGCTTATTGGGATTTTATTTCTTATGCAGGCAGCAATAACAACACTGAGCAGCTGATTCTGATGTGCTGACAAAAGAGAAAATACATTTATAAGCCTGTTTTTTACTCAAGCTCAGGTAAATGGAGCTCCAAGGCAATGGCATCTTCCATGCAGTTTAAATATTTCCTGGTTCTAATTCCACCCTCTAAATCAGAGATTTTAAGAGTTACCAAAATACATAATTAAAGAAGAGTGAGAACTGCTCCTTTAGTTGAGAGCTCCAAGGCCTCGCTCAGCTGGAGAGCACTTGAAGCAGGCACAGTACCTATGGCAACCCGTGTGGAAGTGGAAGCCTGTTACCATAACCGACTCCAAACCTTTTCTGTAAGCAAAGAAAAATGTCACTTGTTGTTAAAATCTTCCTTTCAAAGAAGCCCAAGACACCCTGCTGACAGGCTGAACCAAGCACATTTAGTCTTCATGAATCAGAAGAAATACTGTAGCTGTTTCCTAACTGGAAATACAGCTGTGCTGGGAAGAAGAGGGAAGGTGGTGTGTGATATGGAAAGGATGTCACCTTCTCTTTGGAGCCTTACAAGCATGTCAGCCCCATTTCTATGACACACACAGCGCTAATTACCTACCCTCGGCCTACGCAGGCTAGTAGTAAACAGACTTAAGAGTTTCTTTGCTACAGGCTATTTCTTTGCTAACAAAAAGGGTGTGTTTTGACCACAATAAAAAATATTTCAGAAGAATGAATGCATGTTGTAACAGTACAGATGAGGCACTGCAGCTCCACCACCAGCTACAGTCAGATAGCCAGGAGTTCATATCCTCCAGCCACTTCACGGCAAAATGCAAGCCTCATTTTAAAAACGTGAGCATAGCTAATAATTGGTAAGTTAAAGAGTAAAGCAATAGTCCTGCTAATGAAAAACACACTTAAACAGATATGCCATCCTCCTCTGCGAGAGGCTCCAGACCACTGGACACACCGCCTATTGCCAGGAGGAGCTACGCAGAGCCTCTCTTGATATACATACCTCTGGGGCAAAATAAAGTTACACACGGAAGTAGAAAGCAATTATGGTACTTTGCATAGCTTAGATTTGGCAGGAGTTGCAGAACAGAACCTACTTCTCTTCTTGTTCACCTTGTTTCTCTTCTGCAATGCAATCTAGTTCTCTATTTTGTTCCCCTTTAAAAGGCCAGCTGCCACGCTGTCACAGCCACAGAGGATTCGTGTACGTCAGATCAATCACAGGGCCACTAGTGACCCGTTACGTACCAGCCCTCAGAAAAGAAAGAATATACACAAGTTCCTTCAGGAAGCAGAAACCCCAGTAGGATTGCTTCTTTTGGGGCTTTATTTGGGTGATCAGCTCCCCAGCACATCTGCACATCAGTTCAGAGATGCACCTGCTGGAGCGTGGTACAAACCTCACGAGGATGTACCAACACCCAGGGCTGATGCAACGCCTCCTGAATTTTTTTTATTTTTTTTTTTGGAAGGAAAATAATTCACATCCTACCACCACACACACACATTCTCCCACAGCACTGTCAGGAAATCTCTGTTTGTATAAAGAGGAGCACAAGAGATTACTGGCTGTATTGGCCAAGTGGTTGATCATTTGTCACCTTTCGAATTAAAATAAATAAATAAACAAACAAAAGGTTACATGATGTCCTTTCTAGGTATGATTACCAAGCCGCAGCAACAAGGCAGCAGTGGTGTTGTGGGCCAGCACACCACAGCACGGTCCTCTTTTCCTTTCAGAGGGGATATACACACAGATATATATGCATATGGTGGGAAACAAAGCAGTGCTGTATCTGAGAGCAAAAGCTGCCAGCACCACTCAGCTGCGGCTGACTTCCTTTGGAGGGAAGATGTATTTTTGCACCTTTTTCTGCCAGCTCTGTAACCCAGCAGATGACAGCGCCGCGGCCGGGGGTGCGTTCCCCCACGTTCCCCCGTGTCAGCACGGTGGCTTCAGCGGGACCTGCCAACGCCAGCACTTCTCCACCAACTGAAAGGTCCTCTCACACCGCCCAAATAATAGCAGGTCACAAGGCTCCTCAGAAACAAAAGCTGCTTGTACTCAGTATTTTCTCCCCTATCTGCCACTTTTATTTCCCTCCTCCCTTTTTATTCTTATCATCAACTACAGAATGTTTCCCCTCTAAGTGGCTCTAAGCGTTAGTATTTATTACAGCAGCAACCAGAGCTCCCAGGGTGGCGGTGACCAGAAAAGCACAACACATGGAATTCACTTTTTTCTCTCAAGCGATCACACTGTGAACATGTTCTGGGCAAAGAGAAGTATTAATGCATCACAACAATACACACTAAATGGTACAAACCAGGAATAAGTGAGCAAGTTCCAGGGGATTTACTAAAAGCAGAGGTTATGGCAGACAGGGTACTGGCTGGTTTCTCAGAGGAAGCAACTAAAGGGAGTTTAAGAAGAGACTGGGTAAACCAGAGGCAAGGAAAGTATTTTTTTTTCCCCCTCTTCACACTCACATCACATCAAAACATCAGAGTTGCTGTATTAACTATTCTAAAAGCAGGGAAATGTTGAGGATGAAGGTGCCTGAGCCCCACCTTGGGTGTAAGACCAGAGAGTAGAACACCAGACACCACACAGGATGCTGGGGCAAGGAGAGATGAACCACAGCAAACGGCCGGGGAGGGTGCAGAAGCGGAAGCAAAGCCTCACAACTGCTATTGTGGTAACGTCCCCTCGCACAGGAAGGCTGCTGGAATGTCTCATTGTTCCTTGGCCCTGTCACAGGATGGCCACACAAGTTCCAGCTCCTAACAAGGGAAAGGAGAAATTCCTGTGTTGGGGGTCTGGTTTCATCTTATGCTCTGTTTCAGGACAAGTCGGTAAAATTTCAGGTTCATTTCTAAAGCTTTGGAAGTAACTAAAGGAGTCTTCACTCACATTGACCCATTTCCACAGGTTGTCAGAACACACAGCTCTTACTCAAAAGCATATGTTAATTAAAATTCTGCAAAACAAGAGTACTTAAGCCTGCCCTAATTCTTCAGAAATTTATATATGTATTTAGCTCCACACAAGGCAGGCAGTTCCACTGATTTAAATGAATTATTCAAAGTAGAACCATCTGCAAAGCTCCACCGGATTAGCCATTTCAGTCCATGTCCTGCCAGGGAGCGAAAGCGGTTGGCTGGTTTAGCCAGTGTCTGGCTATAGCTGCATTTGTAGATGATTGTTAAAATAATTAATTTTAGCTTAGTAAAGGCACTCAAGGGGGTCAGCCTGAGATATCCAGCTGCTTGCATGTAAGAGATGTGTGTAGCCTTAGAGAAGCAACAGCATTCAGGAACTCGTCCTTGGTCCTAACAAATGTTATTCCTTACCCCATTCTCCTCTCAACAGCGAGCCTGATGGGCAGTGGAGGAAGAACATTTCTCCTTGCAAAGGCACAAAGGGTTTATGCCTCCAAGCAACTGAAGGACAAGATAAACATCACCATATGTTGTCTCAGGAGCCAAGGATATTGCTGGACCTTTTCTGGCTTGGGCGCTTCCAGGCACGACCCAGACATCTGTGTGCGTGCAAATGAAGTACCTGACAATGCAGAAATTAGAAGCAGAACTGCAGAACCATGTGCCAAACTTGATTCTAAATAACCCTTTGATCTATAGAGAAACCCTTCTCAATACTAATTATCATTTAAAATACATTCTGTGATGCTGGAGTGTTAAAGAAGTCTCAAATGGAGGAAATACAGAAGAAGCATCACTGCCAGAAGTCAGCAAGGTACACCCCGTAACATCTTCATAGTGTCACACCTGGTTACATTGGCACTGTAATATTTGAATGTGTGTATTTTCCACTGAGCTGTGTGCCAGGGATGCTGCCGGGACCACCTGCAGCAGGGGATCACTGGATCACACTGACCTCTTGCGAACTCGCTCCCTGATCCGGTATCACTTCTGCACCTTTAACTTTCACACAAATATTTACATGCCTTGTCTCACACCTCCCTTTATTTCTTCTTTTCTTAAAGCCTTTAGCATTCTTCTTTCTCCTGCTACCTTACATTCCCTGATCTACTTTATCGAGGATTTGAGGGATTCAAATCAATTCAGAAGTTTATTTAACCTTTGAAACAGCATTTTGAGTTCATCTGCAGTAGCAAACCGGGGAACATGGCAAACAAAGTGTAATGTTTGGCAATTTCTCGCACAATCAGAGACTTTAGTTTTGGTCCTTAGTTACATGGATTATGAGAAGAGGGCCTGCACTTTCAAAATACTGGATTCCTGTCTTGGCCTTGGGCTCAACCAGTCTTTTCCTCCACATGCACGAACTTAGCCCACCCAGCAGGAAACCACAGCCTTTTTGCAACTGAATATGAGGTTTCTCTTTGTCACAGGTGACCAAAACTGAGCAGGAAGTCTGCTGGGATCCCTACATCTGACACTTTGGGTGTGCTTCACACACCCTGCTTCACCGTTCTACCTGCAGGCAGCCATGAGAATTCATAAAAACACTTTCCTTATGTATTTCTGTTTTCCAAGCACAGTTTGTGAGAAGAAGGATAAGCAGACTGCTGCACTTCAATTCTGCTTTGCTTTCTTTAGCTATCTTTCCCTTCCTTTTCTTTTTTGCCAGCTGGGGAGTAAGCCTCTGGGCGAAGCATGGTGTCTGATGAGCCGGGGCTGCAGGGCAGGATGTGGAAGACGCAGCCTCTGGCAGGGCAGGCTCCTTCCTGTGTGCACCCCACAAGTGACAGGAGAGATGAAAGCACGGCCAAAGCAGCACTCTCTGCTCCCACTCGTTAACGTGCCCACTAGAGAACAACAGACTGTTAGCGGGTACGCAACTCAGAAATGCAGTTTTAAAAATCACTGCAGTTTGAAGAACCTATCCCGTATCTCTACAGCTTCCTCTCTACACTTTCCTCTCTAAAACAATTCTAGGAAATATTAGCGTGGCCCATGTGGCAGATGGGCTGCCATCTGATAAGCATTTGATGAGGACTGGCACCACTCTGTTCTCTACAGCCCTCACCCAGAACCACTCTGGTCCCAAAGAGTTCAAAGATTCAATGCACGTGATGAATTTGCAATCTCTTTTAGGAATGCAACAGCTGTGTTTTGTTCAAGAGCAATCTAGCTAAAGCACAACTAAGTAATGCAATGATCAACTGCATCTTTTTCAACTATGGCCCAAAAAAACTAAGGTTTATTTTGTATGAGTTTCTCATCTTTGGGTTTAAGGCACACCTAACTGAACAGTGTTATGTCCAGGAGCATCTACACGATATAAAGTACAGAAGTAATTTGACTTTTTTTAAGGCAATTTAAGTATCTAAAAATCACATATAGACTCTCGACAACAGCAACAGAATCTATTCAGTGTTCATAAACTCACCAGATGGTACCTAGAGAGACAAGTAATTCAAACCCTGCTTTCTATCTCTTTATCAAATTCCTCTAGTGACCCGGTAACATCCAGCACGTAACATCCAACACAGCCAGTCCCCTTAACCCCTGTCTTCACCAGTCATCCCAGCACAGTCAGCTCTCCACTTAGATGTTTAGTTTTTTGTTTGGACCATCCACAATCCGTGTTCTGACTCTTAACACACACTTTAACGAAGCAGACCACAGCAAGAACTTAGTAGAGCCCAGACCCGGCCGGCGGTCCCTGCCGTGCTGCAGGGAGCGGAACAAAGAGCACCAGAAGGCAAGAGTTACAGCCAGAGAACTCGGCGAAGCGCTAAGCTGCCAGAAGCAGTAACGAATCCAAGTTCTCAGCAGCGTTAAAGACTAAACCGGTAGGGACGGAGGTGGTAAGGGGTCTCTCCTGGGACCGGGGGTGACAGAACCGCCGCCGAGAGAAGAGCTGGGTTCTCCAGCCGCGGGGCGACCCCGCTCCCGGCGCCTGAGCCACCACCCGCCTCAGCGACCCGCGGGACCCCGTCCTGCTCGCCCTGGCGACTGCGGCGGGGCGGGGGGCTCCTCCGCCTTCCCCGGCACCCACCGCCTCCCCGGCCCGCTCCTCCGCCTCCCCCGGCACCCACCGACCCAGCCCCGGGCCGACCCCGGCACCGCACGAATGAATGGCCCCGTCACGCTAATTGGGGGCTGTAATTTAACCTCCGGCGCACCGCGAGCGGGACAGCCGTCCCCGGAGCACCCAGCCGTGAGAAGGGCGCAGGTCTCGGCGGGAGGCCTGTGACAGCACCGCGCACCGACAGCCCGGCTCTCGGGAGAATATTCACAGGAACAATTAAGAACGGGGAAATACTGATTAAAGACATCATCTAGCGCTGCCTCAGCAAGGTGTGCCGGGCCCCGCCGTCTCCCCAGGAGGCGCCGCCCGCCCCGCGCCCCTCAGCCGCCCGCCCCGGGCCCTCACCTGCCGCCCAGGAGGCCCCTGGCCCGCTCGGCCAGCGCGCCCGGCACCTCCGCCTTGCTCAGGGCGCCGCTCCCCGCCGCGCTCCAGGGAAGCGGCTCCGCCGGGCCCAGCGGAGCGGGGAAGTCCCGCAGGAAGGAGTGCCCCGGCCCCGGCCCTGCCGCCTCCCCTGCCCGCCCCGGTGCATGGGGTGCCTCATGGCCGCGTGCTTCAGCTCCACCAGGTCCTGAAACACGGGGTCGCAGAACACGCAGCCCGAGTGCTGCGTCTCGTCGCCGGGCAGCGGGGACTTGGCTTTGTTGAAGTCGACGTCCACGAGGGCCGCGTCGCACAGCTCGCAGGTCTCGGGCGACACACGCACCTTGTGGGCGTTCTCGAAGAAGTGCACGATGACGTTGCACTTGTTGCAGGCCATCTTCCACTTGGGGCCCGAGGTGGAGTCCAGCACCAGGACGCCGCTCTCGCACTCCACGCACTGCCCGATGCCCAGCATGCTGAGGGAGTGCTGGCAGCTGGGGTGCGTGCACTCGTTGCAGCCCATCCCTGCCCAGGGAGAGCACAGCCTGAGCACGGCCACCCCCAGGGACACACAATTCACACACACCTGAGTGTTTTACAGGTTTTCTAAATCACTACAGAATGGAACCGCCTTTTCACTGTCACAACAACCCCTTGCTCAAAGATGTTTCTATACAACGGCCTTCGGAACTGCCAGGTCCTGTCGCTGTTCAGAGCAGGCAGCGTGGACACAGTACAGGTGAAAACCACTGTGTTTTATGCTAAATGTATGGCTCCTCACTTACTGCTACATTATGCTTGCACTGTACACTGTTAGTACAAGGCATTATTCATTAAAAGATGGTAGTAGAAAGATTCCAAAAAGCTCCTGACACTCAGAGCTTCAAAGCACCATTTGAAGTTTTGGTCTCACAAGCTAAATGCAACTTTTACCCCTTCTTGCATCCTTGGACAGCTTTTGGCACCCTGTCTGTCTCAGTGCCAGAATGCTCTCAAGAGCTGGGCTCCATCTATAGCACTGTCCACACCCAGCAAACACCCATCTGCAACCTGCCAGAATCTCAAGGTCCTTCACTGCATAACGAGTGTCAGGAAGGTCACCTACTGTGCATGCACGTATATTAAATTTTTCTTTTAACACACAATTCACACACACCTGAGTGTTTTACAGGTTTTCTAAATCACTACAGAATGGAACCGCCTTTTCACTGTCACAACAACCCCTTGCTCAAAGATGTTTCTATACAACGGCCTTCGGAACTGCCAGGTCCTGTCGCTGTTCAGAGCAGGCAGCGTGGACACAGTACAGGTGAAAACCACTGTGTTTTATGCTAAATGTATGGCTCCTCACTGCTAGATTATGCTTGCACTGTACACTGTTAGTACAAGGCATTATTAATTAAAAGATGGTAGTAGAAAGATTCCAAAAAGCTCCTGACACTCAGAGCTTCAAAGCACGATTTGAAGTTTTGGTCTCACAAGCTAAATGCAATTTTTACCCCTTCTTGCATCCTTGGACAGCTTTTGGCACCCCGTCTGTCTCAGCACCAGAATGCTCTCAAGAGCTGGGCTCCATCTATAGCACTGTCCACACCCAGCAAACACCCATCTGCAACCTGCCAGAATCTCAGGGTCCTTCACTGCATAACGAGTGTCAGGAAGGTCACCTACTCTGCATGCACGTATATTAAATTTTTCTTTTATAAAGGAAAAAAAAAAGGATTCAGAAATGAGTTAACTAATAAATTTTGGTCAGAGAGTTTGATGTGAATTTCAGGTAACCTAATTTGAACAGCACTTTATCCTAAGCAACACTGATTAAAAACTACTAAAAAGCACACCGTATAGACGGCACCTAATTTCTTTCAAGTGAGGTCAATCCCTGCACGTCTACAGATTCCCTACCTTTTTTCATGTCTCTGAAGGGAGGATGGTTGTAGCAGTACGGACAGAGTGGGTAGCTCTTTCCTCTGGACCCAGACGACCACAGCACCAGCTCAAAGTCATCCAGGGGGCAACGCAGCTCCTTGTAGAGTTTAATGGTCCCATTCTGTGGGAGACTGTAGGTGTCATCGCAGTGAGAGCAGTGCAGACGGCTTGGTTTGGCCTGGAAGAGAACACAAACCTCCAGAACAACTGCAGTGTCAACAGGGCTTCACAACTCGCAGGAAACCCCACTGGGACTGCTCTCAGAGCCCATCAGGGTCTTTGTTTTAGAAATACACTCTGGACAACCACGCTTGAACGAGCCAAAGTCAGTAATGGAAAAGGGGTTTCTATTCAATGCCCCCCAGAAAGTGAAATTTAAATTCCAAGTATAAGGCAAATTTACCTGAATATACTTCATGAAGCGATGGCATTTGCCGCAGCGGGAAAGGGGTTTCCCCGTGGCAGCTAAGGGTGAAAAAGACACTTCCATCAGCTCATCCATACCTGTGAAAGAGATAAGCATATTTGTGTTAGAATTCCAGTTCTTAAGAGGAAATCTTGCACAAAATCATCTACAGGACCTGTGAAGAATAAGTGGAAATTAAAATATTTCATTCACAATGCTCTTCCTTGTTTAGGAAGACTTTTTAAACACACAGTGTTTTGCAGTGAGCATGCACAAGCACACATGGGTAAGTACTTCTGCTAGTCTCAAGTTTTTGAAAGCTCACCACTGCAGTCACAAAATGAATCTGAGGTGGAGTTTTGGAGCCATGATTTAGTCCATCTCCTTTTGGAGAACAACTTAATTTGACCAGAAACTTCCAGTCCTGGAACACAACTCTCTAGTAAGCCTAAACCTCCAATAGGAATCTAATTTACAAGTATTTTCTACTAGCATCTTTGCAACAATTAAGTAATCATAGGGAACTCAACATGTAAAAAGTTTTACCTGCAATAGAATCCACAAAATAGTGAAATTTCCTTTTGAAAATGTCAAGGGTGTGCTCCAGGACCTGATGATAATTTGCTTTACCCAGAGCTATTAAGTTGAGTTGCTTCTCCACAGCACTGCGGATGGTAGGAAGAACCAATTCTGCATCTAACAGCACAGAGACAACAGCAACAGAGAAGAAACAATGAAAGATCAAGAAACGGGGGTAGGAAACTGTCCATTTGTAAACCGGTATCAAAATGAACAAACAAGTTTAATGACTATAGATTTTGGAATTAGTAATACTTTCCTACAGGTGTTATTTCAGACAGAAATGCTACTCATATGGTGACAACAGCCCTAGGATAGAAAGGGAAAAGCATTTAACTGACCTATTTTGTAATACCCATGAACCAGGACGATGCCCAGGTTTGTAGGCTTCAGTCTCCGGCCGCTCTCCACCGTGACGTAGTTCCGCTGGCAGATGTTGTTAATGTGCACTGGAATACTGGCGTCAGTTCCTGCCACACAGAGGAAAACAACATAACCATCCTGAGCAAAACAAAGTGTCTGTCAAATTTCTGACTCCTCTGGTTCTATGTCAATCTATAGTGCTCCTGAGATTGCTTAAAATTCTGATATCTTTTTACTGTTACCCAGCTTCAGTGGATAACCTCCAGTAACTCTTCATGTCCTTGGCAGGTCTGCAAAGGCTGAACTGTATGTATTAACCTTAATTCTTCCATCTGTTCCAAGGAAATACTATTAGGAAGACACTTATTCTCACAACCACTTATTCTGGAGAAACACAGTAACAGACTACGCTTGTTTTGAATGGGCAAATTTATGACAATGTATCAAAGGAAACAAGCCAGGTTTAATAATAATAATAATTTTTTAAAAAAGTAGCGCTGTGGTAAATTGTATAATAAGATATATAAGGACTATTGGAGCCAGCAAAGCTGAAGCAAGCTGTAAAGAGAGGAAATCATCCCTAAGAATGGTGAGGTGGATTCTTCAACACAACATCATCTCCTTCTGACAGAGAGGTGACAAGGATGTGTTAGGGAAGGAGACTACTTTGGCCAGAAACCAGGCACAGGGATAAGAAAGGGAAAGGAATGTCGGGGAGAGAGAATCTACCACCTGCCAAGAAGTGCTACAGACACTGCAGTTTGCAGGGGGAAAAGAGATGGTTACTGCACCTACACAAACGAACACTGAAAGGTCATTACCCACAGAGACTGTTCAGAGGAGTGATTCAGACTCGCTGTGCTCTCGGTGCCTGTATTACGGGGTAAGGTAAGCTAAGCAAGTTCCTACCAATGCCATGCTTTTCCATCAGAGTGATAAGTTCTGCTTCTGTCAGGTAATCAGGAGGACTGGTTTGCTTTTCCAGCAATTTTATTTCACCAATTGGAAAAAGATCTCCTTTCTCACAGTGGGGAAGGCTCTCTTCTAATGGGATGCTGTGCCATGACATAATTTCTGTGAACCCTGGAGGCAAAGAAACAAACAAACAAAAATGATGAGAGCTTATCTTCACAGCTCTCACAAGGCCAAGGTAAACATTTCTAATTTTAACACAGGCCACATTAGAGAGCCCAAAGTTAAGAGGCTGTTGGCCACATCATGCAGTACAGCATCACAGTGATTCAGACTCGCTGTGCTCTCGGTGCCTGTATTACGGGGTAAGGTAAGCTAAGCAAGTTCCTACCAATGCCATGCTTTTCCATCAGAGTGATAAGTTCTGCTTCTGTCAGGTAATCAGGAGGACTGGTTTGCTTTTCCAGCAATTTTATTTCACCAATTGGAAAAAGATCTCCTTTCTCACAGTGGGGAAGGCTCTCTTCTAATGGGATGCTGTGCCATGACATAATTTCTGTGAACCCTGGAGGCAAAGAAACAAACAAACAAAAATGATGAGAGCTTATCTTCACAGCTCTCACAAGGCCAAGGTAAACATTTCTAATTTTAACACACGATTCAGACTCTGCTCTCGGTGGCTGTATTACGGGGTAAGGTAAGCTAAGCAAGTTCCTACCAATGCCATGCTTTTCCATCAGAGTGATAAGTTCTGCTTCTGTCAGGTAATCAGGAGGACTGGTTTGCTTTTCCAGCAATTTTATTTCACCAATTGGAAAAAGATCTCCTTTCTCACAGTGGGGAAGGCTCTCTTCTAATGGGATGCTGTGCCATGACATAATTTCTGTGAACCCTGGAGGCAAAGAAACAAACAAACAAAAATGATGAGAGCTTATCTTCACAGCTCTCACAAGGCCAAGGTAAACATTTCTAATTTTAACACAGGCCACATTAGAGAGCCCAAAGTTAAGAGGCTGTTGGCCACATCATGCAGTACAGCATCACAGACAGTATCTCCCACTGCATTTTGTGCATGGCTTGAGGCGGGTTGATACATGAGAAAAATTAAATGCTTTCCTTGAACGAAAGCACAGTGTCAAAATGGATGGGAAAAGTTTCTTACGAAGGAAATACAAATAGTAAGTCATATTAATATAATATGGACTATACAGCCAGCTTACCATAAAAACCTCAGTGGTGGTGCTACAGTCTTTATACAGAGGCCCAAAAAAATAATCTTTGTGTAATTTAATCCTCAAAAGGCATTTGCTGTCTGTAAAGAGATCAGTCTTCACACTAGCAAATGTGGCATTACATCTTTGAGACTACTACATGAAAAATAGGACTTTTTCTACTGTAACTGAAGTATGCAAATGAAAACAAAGATCTGGTTATTGGTCTCGATAGCTCAAAAATGTCTTCAAAGTTGTACTTGTCCCCAACACTCCACTTTTATATCCATTCAATGTATTAATGGGGAAAAAAATAGTCTGTAGCTAACTATTTCCTCCCTGGTTAGTCTTACCTGGTGAAGTTACCACCTTTCCAATACAGGTAAAACGTTCGGGGCCGATACTGAAGGAAATGGTGGTCTGTAGGTACTTGCAGTCAGCGCTGACAGTGGCGATGAAATGCCGAGTGATGTACTCGTACAGCCGCCATCCGTCTCCACCTGGGGACAAACAACATCTTACCCACAGGGCTCAACTCCTGCAGCTCCACGTTAAATCTGCACTAAGAGGTACCAGATTTCCACGGGTATCACGGGAAAAAACAGCATGTAAAAGAAAGCAACATTCAAAAGTCCATCCAGTTTCCCCTCTAAAACTTCCTGCCCATAGAACCATCAGGTCACACAAACACGAGCTGCGGGTGGATGCTCTTGGAGCAAGACTGCCAACTTAGTCCATTTCCCAATTTTACAATGTGTCTGAGCAAAAGGATAAAGTAGAAAAACTTCCCTTTTTTCCTTTAAAAATTAAAAAAAAAAAAGCATATGAACAGAAATAAAATGTCCTACTGCCACACCCTAATCTACATCCTGAAGTACTCCTGCAGCTCCACGTTAAATCTGCACTAAGAGGTACCAGATTTCCACGGGTATCACGGGAAAAAACAGCATGTAAAAGAAAGCAACATTCAAAAGTCCATCCAGTTTCCCCTCTAAAACTTCCTGCCCATAGAACCATCAGGTCACACAAACACGAGCTGCGGGTGGATGCTCTTGGAGCAAGACTGCCAACTTAGTCCATTTCCCAATTTTACAATGTGTCTGAGCAAAAGGATAAAGTAGAAAAACTTCCCTTTTTTCCTTTAAAAATTAAAAAAAAAAAAAAACGAAAGGATAAAGTAGGAAAACTTCCCTTTTTTCCTTTAAATTTTTTTAAAAAAAAAAAAAAAAGACATATGAACAGAAATAAAATGTCCTACTGCCACACCCTAATCTACATCCTGAAGTGGGATTGTGTTAGCAACTGCTGCACTGGGCAGCTTGAAGTACTGCAAGAGATCGCTCCGAAATACTACTTATTAATGCTAATATAGGTTAAATTTCCAAGCAAAGTTTCCTTATTCAGTCTACAGGTAGGAAATCAAACAGTCACAAGGCTACACTGCTACCAACAACTGCTAAGTCTTAGTCCTGTGCTTTGCATGTTTCATCTTACTGCGTATATAAAGAAAAAAAATCCTACAGAGCAATTCAGTATCCTACACAAATACTCAAAATTTTAAAGCATTTCTCTTTCTATCAGAGATTTCACTGATTCACGAAAATAAAAAGTTATTCATTTTCTACAATAATCTTAGCTATTATTAATAAACAATACCATTTGTCTATCAGAGATTATTTCACTGATTCATGAAAACAAAAAGTTATTCATTTCCTACAACAATCTTAGCTATTATTAATAAACAATACCATACATTCACTACAGTTTCTTATCACTTTAAAATCCCTTTTTAAGGGATAACAGTGTACAGAAAGTTAAATGTTACCTTTTAATATAAAAAAAACCCCAAACCATAGAGACTAAATTAAAATGCAGTTGAAGTTTGACTTTCCCGTACAAAAATCCAATAAAATTTCAACAATTGGAAGTTTCTATTTTGGGGCAAATTTCTCCTAAAGCAGGCATTGTTAAGTTGGCTGTTTCTTTTCCATGGTGCCCAGGACCAATTCCAGAAGAGCAGATCAGCTCTGAACTTTCCTGTCACCAGAGGTTTAAGTCAAGATAAAGTCTGTTCTTTCCTCACTTCCTGCCATTCAAACAACTGTATTTTCTGTGTGAACTCGGGGATCTTCAGGCTGGCTCCTGTACCTGAAGGACCTGATCTGCTGGCAGTGTTGCAGCACTGCTGCATTTGCCCATACCTAATTCTGCTTCCGTGGCCGCTCGCATGGGTGTGATGGGAGGGTGGTCTCCTGCATCGTGGCCCTTCCTCGGGCGGTTAATGCCTTCTGACAGCAAGGCCTTCACCTGGGGAAGGGAGAGAGAGCACTTGGGTGGGCTGAAGTGGGTAATGGGGCTCTCTCAGCAGGTTAGGAAACTTTTTAGATCAAATCCTTCACAATACAACAATTTCCAAGCAAAGTTTCCACAAATAAAAGCAATTACAGATATTTATTGCTTCTAAAGATGTATAGGTCGTAATATAGCAAGTAAGATACGTTCTAAACCACAGACCAGAGAAGGACCTGTTAAACAGTGCAGGTATTGCTGTGTGTACTCACAGTGTCTGCCCAGTAAGGATTATTGGCTTGTTGTCTCAAACACCCCTTCAAGTCAAAATTTTCTGGATAATGAGTAGTTTCTGTTCGAGGGTAGCTAATATAACCCTGAGTATAAAGCCGTTCTGCTATTTGCATGGCATGTTGTGGACCCATTCCTAAGATGGGATAAGAGAAAACAAAAATCACTTACACATCACTGTGATGACTTGTTTGCTCATCTGAAAGTATACCTTATCAAAGCATTCAAATAAATCATGGTTTGTCCTTTCCAGAAGACTTTTGTCACCTTGATTTACTCAACATTTCACTTTTGACAAGCTTTCTAAACGTATGATGTTTTTTATGGAGAGGAGGGTATCAAACTGTATTTGATCCGTCCTGGGTTGTTTCATCTGAGAAGCCAAAATACTTTGCTTTAAAACAGTGTGAAAATCTGAACTTTTACACATACCTAAAGCAGCACTGGCCACTCGTAGCATTTCTACCGTGTTCAGAGCCAGTGGTCTCTGCTTCACCTTCTCTTTTTTACTCACAGATTCTACCTAGAAAATAGCATTTTCCCAGTAAAAGTTTTGAAGTTTGGTAACTGGTAAACCTTTCATTTCCACCATGCCTATCAACATGTGGCACACCTAACATTACCTGTTCTTGTCACACCTGTTTGGGTTTCTTCAAACAGTAACTACCCATATATTTTTACTTCAGGAAATCTGACTGGAGATAATTTTAATAAATTCTAAAGTTGTAGTATTAAGGTCCCTTTGTGCTATGGACCAGATCAGGCCTGTAACCGGGAATGCAGCAAGGCAGCTTATTGCTCTCCTTACTTCCCATTTACCGCAGGAGCACGTAGTTTTGGCACTACAAGTGCTTATTCCAAGCAATGGTCCTAACTATAAGGATCTAGATTTTTAAAAGCTTCACGCAGTCTTTGAACTTTGATGGCTGTAAGCACTTAAATCCAAACATACTGTCAAACAAGTACTGAACAGAGCAGAATTAGAAGCTAATTGACTATGACTGTACCATACATATGATTAAAAATTTACCTACAGGAATATTGCCATATAAGTAATTAAATTCTGATGTATACAATGTCTCATGCAAAATAAGAGGTCTGCTGGAGATCTGAACAGTATTTCATAGCAGGTTTAGTAACGGAGACTTCCTATCATGAGTGATGATCATTTCCAAAGTCAATGCTAAGGAGGGGCTTCTGCTGAGATGACCACAGCAGCGTAATACCAACTACAATGAAAAAATCTCCTGCCTTTTATTCTCATTTACATTAACTTGAATGGAGTAAAAAACAAGATACAGATATTGTACATCCTTATTTAATAAAAAAACAACATGTATCAAATGCATTATTAAATGGTATTCCCTTTACATGAAATACGGCTCTACTGACATTCAGTAAATATTCCTACCTTTGCTTCTTTGGCTGTCTTGGTTATATTCAGGAACATTTGAGCAATCTCACGATCAAACACCCGCACTCTATCCCAGTCCAAAGTGAGAGAACTTTCTTTTTCAGGGTTCACCTAGTGGGGACACACCAAAAAAAAAAAAAGAGAAAAGTTCCCACCACCTCTATTACTGGAAGTGTGAGAATGCATATTTTCAACAATAACCTAGTAAGCAAATCCCAGTACTCCCTGTCCCAGGCCACAGTGCTCCAAACCTGCAGCTGCACTCAGGTTTCACAGGGCTTTGGAGAAAGAGGGAGCACTTTTGAGTTCTGGGACCACAGGAATGACTGAAATTATTCCTGCAGTTAACTGAAATACTATTCTTATTTTTCATGCCCAGAGCAGTAAAGGCTGAAATGGGCAGAAATTCAAAAGTTTACCATTTTGATTTAGAAAAGTTAATAATTTGTATTAAACTGTAAGTAGATCATGATTTAAGTCCCATGTACAAAAATAAATATGAAGCAACCAATATGAGAGCACAAAACTCTCTGAAATAGGCACCAAATATTTCTAGCACAACACACAAGACACATCAGAAAAGAGATGACAACAGACACCAGATTGATTTATTTTTTTTTAATCTAAAAATGGCAACTTTTTACCTATCTACCCCTTATTTGGTTAAAAGTTCCTTGTGATTGCAAGCAGCAAAACCATGTCGGTTTGCTCTCGGAGCCTGGGCAGCAGCAAGGCTATAAAACTGCTGTAAGCTGCCAAAGTATTCAGAGGACTCAACTGCCAATTAACACAATGAGCATTTTATTTGCTTTAAAATTCCAATAGTGAGCAATGCCAATGTTTGTTGGCAGCCTAATTAATTCCTGGATTCAAATTAACAACACAATAAGCCCAAGGACCCCAGGGAACAAAACCAATCCGTTTTAAGTAGTCTTTTTGGCCAAGTCCAGGCTTAGATGGTTAGCACTGAAGAATTCTTGTAAGCAGCAAACAATAACCACTTTAATACAAACCTGACATCCTGGAATCTGTTCTACAGAGAGTGCTGCCACACATGTGAACTGAACGAGAACACGAGTAAATGGTAGGCTTTGTGAATTCCTGTCAACAGCTACAACTTTATGAATGAATAAAATGAAAATATAAGTGCATTTCTTTGGTAAAAATACATGTTCCTCACATACAAACAAGTATTGTAAAACTTACTTTAGCTTGCAGCACCCAGTAAGTCTCAGGCTTAAATGACTGGATTTTGTCATGCCTTTCAACACAGAATCCAAGTGTTGGGGTCTGACACGGCCCAAAGGAGATGAGGGAGCTGTCTAAATTCCCGTATTTCCCCTGAAAATATTTAGTCTGAAACCTAAGAAAGGAAACAAAAGAGCAAGTAATAAGTACATTAATATCCTCATTCCCTTGAAAAACAAAAGCTTTCTTTAACTTATACAAACAAATATGAGTAACCTACTAAAACATTCAGCCGTTAGGAAAAGAGCATTCTGAGAAATACGGGCTCTTAAAGCAAATTAAGTCAGAATTACTTTGCCTCACAGAATCCTGCTTATTCCCAAAGGAAAGTGTGAGATAAAATAAGAACATACAATACCTGCTGATAGTACTTTACCTAGGCTCAGTTAAAGCCATAACACAGTTTATCTCTTTTCATTTGTCTGTGCGTAAAATAGCTAGGTTTGGCATGGAGCAGAATTAGCCACTAGAGTGCCAAGGCACATTCTGTGGACAGAGCAGTATTCCCAAATCTTTCATAAAGCTGTCTGTAACCTATGCTGTCACCTTGTAAACGCACAGCCAATCCTAAGATCCAGCTCCTGGCGGGCATCCACTGAAAGAGCTTCATTGCGATTGGGCTCTCCCAAGTGATTCATGGCATTGCAGATGTCTGTGTCAGTAATAGAGCTGAATTTAGCTCTATAAATCGTCCTTTCAGTGCCACGAGGCTTGTTCATAACAGGAAGAACAGCATCAAGAACCTAATGAAGATCAGAAGCATATTTTTAAGAGTAATTGGCCAAAGTCAGCATTTTTCTCTCTAAAGAACAGACCACCCCACTCACATAACATTTGCTGATACAAACTACTTTCTGAATTCAGTAAAATGGCACACCGATACACTAACCGGTAAGCAAGAGCAACATTCTTCTGTCCACTCAGAACTGTATTAAGAATTAGCAAAACCAAAGGATTTATTTATTAAACAGCAGCTGCTGGAAGGGAAACCCCACTCTTTGCTAAGCGCAAAGGAATTCACCAATGCAGCTGCAGCACCTTTTGGTGAACATGTACCAGTTTCTATCCAGGTTTATTCTACAGATTGGCAGGGCCCAGTTATGATACAGTGGTAATTAAAGAACCTAAAACAATTACTTGATAAAATGTCATCTTTAAAAAAAAAATACTCTTCATGTTGACATGTAGACTTCTGGAAAGAGGATGTTAAAAAAAATAATCTTCACACCCCAAAGTTTTAGATGTCTACCTTTTGTGTGCAAACTCCACATTCCTGCAGTGAGCCTACAGTGAAAAGGGGCCTCTGTGCTCAGAAGAGTCCAAGTGCTTAATGAACAAAGGTTAATAGAGGGGATCAAATTCTGTAAGGACAGCAAAATAATTACCCCAGCTGTGAAATACAGACCAATTCTCAAAGCACTGGAATGTTCAAACATTTAAGATACCTTACTGTTCACCTCAGATGAGCAACAGCTCTGAAATTGATTTATACTCTTTAACTGACACATGAGGAGTTCAAAAGCACATCCATTTTTCCACCAAGGTCCTCCATGCCTTTAAGAAGTTCATTCAACTTAGTTTGAATTTTACTGTATATCTATAAAACAATATGCCAGTAGTACTGTATGTCACAGACAACTATTACTGAGTATAGGTCTTAAAAATGGAAATCTTACTTCAAAACAGATGTTTTCTCCTTCCTTATCACAATCCAACCACAAGACAATACAATCACAGCCTCTTCCCTCCACCTGTGAGAAAAATTAGCACAGTTCTTCAGCAACTCAGAAAAAGACCTGCCTCCTCACTAACTGTATACTTTTTGTTTCTGTTCTAAAGTACTAGGGATAAATTTCTTTCGTGCAAAAACGATTGGAAGACTATAGCAGAAGTGACAAGAAGTCTGCAGGTACTCAAAGAGCGGTTGAAGAGAGAAGCGAGCTGTGCTTCGTGGGACCAGCACTCTGCCTACAACAGAGGTCCTTTTCTGCAGGACCTGAAAAAAAATCAGCATAACTTTCCAATGACAGAAGTCTCAGAAAGTGCCACAGTCTGTGTGCAGCCAGGATAAAGATAGGTCTCACTGTTTCCTCCAACAGAGGAAGAATAGAAACAAGGAATGAAATAAAGAAAAGTAATGCCAAGGAGAAAAAAAAAAAGATACATCTCAAATCTCGTAAGAAAGAATACCTGTAAGAACTTCACCATGGTCAGTTTGGGATTAGCTTCTTTCTTTTCTGTGGGAGCTTTGCTAAAAAGTTCTGCTGGATCCACTTTATCCCAGCTGTTGTATTTTCCTGAAAAGCAGAAGCGTATTAAATAGAGCTCTATGTATACATAAAAACAAACAAACAACAGCAAACATTACTTTGGAAAACACTTGGCTTTCAAGATATGTGTCGGAAACCTTGTTACTCTAACACATCTTGCTTTACTGTACATCAAGGGACCGCTCAGCACCATGTGAATTGCAGCTATGCTAAATACTGCACACCTTTCAGAAACACAAGCTATTAAAGACCTTCTGTCTGTACAATTAGTCGATCGGGGGAAGGGGGGGAGCTATTTTTCCTTGTTTTCACAGTGCACACATAAAGTGCACGTTGGGCTCTGTCTTACTGCCAGGTCACAGGCTGGCAAACTGAGCCTCATCAACCCTCCTGCTCCAGGGACATAATTCAGCACAGAAAACACACATGGGACACGCACACAAGTGGCACACGGGCGTGTAAGTCGTCAGCAGAGAACTAGAAACAAAAAATTAAGAACTGCTGACCACAAGTCATCTTTTCATCCTCCTTTTCTCCCTAATTCTAACATTCTCCCCAAGTTATTTACACCATGGATACTTTCCTATTAGAAGTCCCTCACGGCTCTACAACCTGTATCAGTTAAAATGTTTTATGAACAAATACCTATGAAATCCAAAGTCATGACATGACCACACACAGATGTCATCTTGAAATGGGCACTCTGTCCTACAAACGATCCAGTGTACTCATGCACAGAGCACGCACCATTCAGTCCCTTGCGAGAGGACATGTTTCCTGTGAAAATAAGATCATAAATATTAACAAGATAAAAAAAATATTGAAATAAATTATTTTTTGTGAAATGACAGCTCCCTTTTCTTAAATCTTACATCTAGGGTCTTCCTGATCACAAAATTCTACTCATTGACCAAGTTTTTATTTTGGTTAATTATCACTTCAGACCTTTTTTAAAGCCTATTTCATTTTCAATTGAGACTATCCACTACCTCCTCCATCCTCTCCCTCCCACCAAGAAACCCTTATGAAAATACAGCTGGTTTTATAGATCAGTACAGTTATAACCAACTCATTCCGTTTCCCACATTATTTATAAAATATTCACTATTGCTTCAAAAATCTCAGAACAGCAACTTACTACTTGATCGGCACTTTCTAAAAACCATATGCACTAACACACATACTCTGGCTACATAAAATATGAAACCCAGATTCCTTTACTCTCAGCTTGAATAAGCACCCGAATGTGAAGGGCCACCCAATTCCTCTACGGACCGCAGCCTGTCCTAAGCCACCATTCCCAGGTGGCAGCTGCCCTAAGACAACCAAGGAACTGACCAGGGTGTTTCTCAGCTTCAGTTCATCTACAGCAACACCTGGTAACCTCGGTGACACGCAGCTGCCCCGACACAGCACGCATCCCCTCGCTCGGGCTGTGCCCTCCAGAGTACTCTCATCCCACTCCACTGCCGGCAGAGCGACATGCAGAAGGACTGAACCAACACGCTGTCTTTCCTACCCCTCGAGAGGATCTTGGCGATGGACTGAGCCAGAGAAGGCTTCTCCGCAACCATTAAAATAGTCTTCATTTTCGGCTGAGGAGACACAAGCTGTCACGGGGCTTAACGGCGGGGTCTGTGTCCCCCTGAGAGGGCGGCACGCAGCTGGGGAGCGAGACCCGGGCCTCACCCTGAAGAGAGGGAGCACAAACCAGGTTTACTGCAAAGTCAAACCACCGCGGGGCCCAGAGAGGCAGGGGCAGACCCTGCCGGTCCCCGCGGGCAGGGAGGAGCGCGGCGGGGCGGCCGGGGCACCGCTCCCACCCGGGGCACCGCTCCCACCCGAGCCCCCAGCGACAGCCGGGGCCTGACGGCTGAGAGAGAGACCGAGGGGAGCCGCGCCGCCGCCCGTCCCAGCGCTCCCGCAGGGGCTCGAGGGCCGCCTGGGGGGATGAGAGGGGAGGGGATGAGAGGGGAGGGGACGGGAGGAGTGGCGCGGAAGGCCCCCGTCCCCGGGCGGGCCCGCTCTGCTCCGCGCCTCACCTCAGCTCAGCAGGCGGCCATGGCCTCCGCTTGTGCCTCCGGGTCACGGCGCCGGAAGGAGCGCGCCGCCCGCCTCCGCCCGGCCCCGCCCCTCCGCGGGGAGCGCGCGGCGCCCCCTGGCGGCGGGGAGGAGCCACGGCGGGGCTGGGGCTGAGGGCGGGAGTCGGCCTTGGGCACGGGACCGGACACGGGAGCCGCGTAACCGGACACAGGAACGGCAGGAAAACGTGCCGCTGCCGTTCCTGTCCGGCCACCCGGCCGCGTGCACAGCGCTGCCCCGGCACCCCGGGGCCTGCCCGCAGCCGCCCGGCCCGTGGCTGTGGGGCGCACGCAGATCAGACGCCTCTGAGCAAACCCACCCACACGGACCGTGTCCGCGCTGCCCCACGCGCCTCCCGCACCCCCCTCGCCCCACACACCCCTCACACCCCACTCACCCCGCAACCCCTCACCCCGCACACCCCTCACACCCCGCTCACCCCGGGCCCAGCCCCTGGAACCCTACACATTGTCCGGCCGCCAGCAGCGCCGCCCCAATGCCCCGGGACGTGCCCCAGGAGCAGCCAGAGCGCCCCGGGCCCTGCGCCCAGGGCAGGTGGCGGAAATAACAGTGATGTTTTGAATGATCGTGAATTTGTATCAAATTCCTGAAAAACCCCTCGCAGCCGGACGCCGGTTTCTCCCCGGGAAGGAGCCGAGGGGCAGGACAGCGGGAGGGCACGGGCCGGGGCACGGTGTCCCTGGGGGGAGAAGGGCCCGGCCCTGCCCATGGCTGCCACCCCGGGACACCGGGCTCTGCCGGGGAGGATTTGTCACCAAACCGGGGCAGGTTCCCACCTCGCCTGCTGCTGCTCCTCTCCCACCCATCTGGAATGTTTCTGCCACGGGAAGTGCTGAGCAGGGAAGCCCCAAGTCGAAGGGATTTCGTAAGGCCTTTGCGGAGCTCAGCTCTGCGTTCGTACCCCTGTGGGGTGCATCAAGCCCTGCCAAGGTTTATAGCACTTCTTTTCCAAAAGCTGCTCTGTGCCGTACAAACCTGAAGAGAAGAAATTGGGAAGCAGCCAGGATCAGGATGTATATCAGCCTCACGCTGTCTGGAATAAAAAGGAACTAATTCACCTTCAATTAGATTATTAGGCAATTAATAGATACTGGAGGTACCAGTGAAAGAAAAACCAAAACAAACCCAGGGCTTTTAATTCTTTGGCAATACTGAAGTTAAAACTTGTTAAAACAAATGTGTTCTGCTGTTCCAGTGCCTCGTTCCCTTTGACATCTGGGGAACATCTGGAACAATCAGGATGCAAGTTAAAACCAAGTCTTCAGATACGTCAGATACATATTTTTCAATTTCCTCTGGTAAAAGCCCCCTACAAAATCCAGCATTACTTTTCTTTTCAAGTGTGCAATGTAACATGCAAATTCCGACTCGCACGTACCTGCGGAAGCGCAGTCGGGTCCCTCGGACACGGAGGGGAGGGTCTGTGGGCTCTCCCAGTCCCCGCGTGCTGGTACGGACGCATCCGAGGCAGGTTCATTGGGCCACACAGATTTTCCCAGCTTGGAGGAACCCCCATGTTCCCGACAGCCCACCTTCACCAGCCCTCCTTGGCCTAATCCACCGGGTGCGGACATCGGGTCATGATGGTCGCTTCCAAGCGCTCACAGCCAGGAGAGGGCAGTTTTGGGAAGCCCTTTGCACTTTGGAAAGGCTCACCCCATTCCCAACCCTCCAGCGTGGAGCCGCATCAGTCCCAGCACTGCCGAAGGGACCAGGTCACCCGGCCGGGCTGGGGATGGGCTCTGCAGCCCTACAAGGCAGGTTTGGCATGGCTCCCGGGCCAGGGCCGGTGCTGGCCACCGCAGAGCACGGCCACTGTGGGGGTCCCTGGGCCAGGAGCTCACAATAGCGCTTGGCAGAGACACAGGTTTTACCCTGTTGCCATCACTTTCTCTAGCACAGCACTGGGCTGCACCTTGGGATGTTGTAAATTCACTTTGCTCCACGTTGCATCGTACTTTCCCCAGGAACGGGCTCCTGCCCACTGTCACAGCCCCGGAGAGCGAGGCTCCCGCCGCGACCTCCTCTCACAGGGCTCTTCTCCTCCGCCTGTTACTGCTATTTCAGGTTCTGCCACCCTTTCTTTAGAAGCACTTCTCACCACACTGAGGAGTCTCCAAAAATTTATCTTCCCTGACCCCACCACCCCTGCAGTGAGCACCCGGCTCTGGGAGGCTCTGCATTCCCACTGGGAGAAGCTCCGGGGGAAAGAGGCCGTGTTTGCCAAGACTCCAGTTCCCCCAGCGCTGGGGCAGGCTTCAGCCAGGACTGCTGGCACCCCTCTCCCGTACTTTGTTCGGCTCTGGCTGGTGTTTCTTCACTTTTCTTCTGAAGAGCTGAAGGCCATAAACACAGCGCTCTAGCTGTACGAGTGGGGCAGAGTAATAAAAAAAACCAAAGTAAATAGCCTCTCCTGTGGTTTTCTCAGAGAAAACCAGTTTTGTTTCTAGGTTTCCATCATTAGCTAGATCTTGTTTTACACTGGCTTGGGAAACCTATCAAATTAAGAACGCTACAGCTCTGGGTCGTACACTTTGCCCACTGAGGACACTTTGACATCGCTGGTCCTGCTGCCTGTGAAGTCCCAAGTTTTCCAGCACCATTTACCCGCCGGGGCGTTTCAGTGGATGGTTATCTAAGCAGCCAAAGCTCTCACCCCGACTGAGATGTCCATGTGTCCTCTCCAGCAGATGAGCGTGTGCAGTGGTTGGAGCCTTGGACCTCCTCGTTCCAGCAGTGACTCACTGTTGGTGACTAAAGCCTTGGTGCCTCCTCTCACCTCCAGCACTCGAGTGGCAACTTCCCTCTTCAGGGGCGTTTTACAGATCTGTACATGTAGAACCCATTTTAAGAGCAAGATAGAAAAATCTATACAGAAATATAAACTATTGTAGGGAGCATGATCATTCCTCCTTCATTTCCCCAGGCTCATTCTTGACCTTAGAGTAACTTTTTCCTGTTTGTTTCCAAACACACTTGAAAAGATTGCCATGAAATTAATAAGTATTGACAGGGGGGTCAGGCAGGCAGGAACACATCTGGAAGGATGCCACAGACATTAGAAATGATGAAAATGCAGGTCAAATTATTAAAATAGTTTTTCTTTTTTTTTCTTTTTTACTTTTTTTAAACTAAATAAGAACTATGAGGCCACAAAAATGTGTCTGAAATCTTGACTACAAATCTGGGCTCCAGATACTTCAGTGCTGGGAAGCAGCAGACAGAGTCTACCACAGACAGAGCAGCAGCAGCACTTGAGAGGCTTTGTGCTGCAGTGAAAGTGATGCTTGTGCCCCTTATAAGAAATTTAAAAAATTAATCTTTGAATAATAGAAGGGAGAGAACAGAGTGAATGCTGACGAAACAGGACATTATTACCTGCTGAGACATACACGCACCCATGACGTACCATTGGCTCTTGACTCTGTTTTCCCCTGAAGTAGTACCCTTTTGTTTAAAGGAAAATGCAAAAGTTGACAGATAACCAAAGCTCTGTGTTAGGGAACACCAGGCTTCAGTCCATATGTATCCAACGTACGTCTGCCAATTGGGGCAGTACTGCTGGGAAACAAAGGATCACCTGTGAAAACGAGGGGGGGAAGTATCAGAATAAAGAGACTGTGATGTTAAAGTGCCCGTTTTGCTCTATGCAGCGTTTCTTCTCACTTTAAGGCCACCTTAAATTGAAGGAGAGACGTGGAAGGAATCTGTGTGAATGGGAGTGGATCCACAGGGATGGAAGGAGAGAAATGAAACACATGCATTTTTTTCAGGTTTGGTCTTGCACCGCTGTATAATCCAGCCCAGCTTTGGCATTGACAATTATCCATAATCCAGGTAGGACAATACAGCCCCTCTCCAAATGCAGCCTGTGATAACAAGTGAACAAAAAAAATAATCAAAAAAAGTAGAAAGAAACCCAAAGGCAACATGACAGTGGCCGTTTGAACCACTTGTCCCCACGCATATGCAATTGTAGGGCAGACCCATGGGTACAGCCGGAGGAGGGACACACCTCAGCAGCTTTCAGGGGGTTACCTGCAAATTCACAGCGATTTAGCTGCGTCCACACCAGGTCGCAGCCTCCAGGCAGGCAGCTGAGAGCGGGAGCCTGTCTGAGCAGAGGGATCTGCACCGGCTGCGTCTCCCCGTGCGCGTGGGGACATGCCCTGGGATCCCCCACCACCAGCACCCTGCCCCGTCCCGCAGAGCCTGTCCTGCCAGGGCAGGTATCGCCATCCTCATCCCCCACACCAGGGAAGCCGCTGGCACGGGGACGGGGATGTGCCAGTTTCCCAGGAGCTGAGCTCCTTCCCCGCTCCTGCGCAGGGCTCCCCGTCGGTGGTTGAGCTTCACCTGAGGAAACCGGCCTTGTCCAACCCCGCGCTGGGTCCGGCTGCTTCTCTCCCACCCCGAGGACCAGCCACTGCTGCCCACCCTCCCTGACACTGCCCTGGGCAGGGCTGGCACGGAGACCGGGCTACAACTGCCCGGCACAGCCGGGGCACGTGCAGAGCTGCTCTGTGTCCATCGCGGAGGACAATATCTGATACGGTTATGGTTTAACAGCTGTTCAAAGTTTATTAATGACGTAAGATAGATCGAGAGGTTGAATTTTAGCAGTACTCAATCATTAACCGCTTTAGGGGTTTACAAAGTGAGTAAATAAAATAATTGAAGCAGGCGGGGAAGGGTTGCACCGTGACAGTCCCCCCCCAACACACACACACACCGCACTCCCAGCGATGACACCGCAACGGGGAGATGCTCGAGTTGACCCCTCAGGAACCCGGCGCTGGGCTGGCAGGACAGACAGACACGTGCTCCGGCCGTGTCTCTGTTGGGTATGGACTGCACTTGCAGTTTTGAAGTTCTCGTTCAAACGATACACATGTAGATAACACAACAGCATGCTGTAAACGTCCCCGCTACCAAAAATAATACCTGGATGTAAAGAAATATGTAAATTATAATTCATAACC